GTTTACAGTCTGTCATATTCTAAAGATACAACTAACCACAATGGGGCTTTCCTGTACAACTCAAAAATTTAAGCACTGCCTTGTATTTTAAAAATTAGTTAGCAATGTAACTCTCAGAAACGGTCATGGTAACAAGACAAATAGTTAAGTTTCTGGTATATAATTATCAAAATGGGAAAAAAAATTAAAATTCGTTTTTTGAAGTTACAAAATTTGATATTCCAGAGTTGAATTAGTGAATTCTCAAATGACGAAAGTTACGGTGGGTCGACTGCACTTCAGTGAAACAACTTCCAATAACATGCGTAAAAAAGGAAAGCCAAACCCCGAACAAAGATATTTTCAGGTGAGCTCTTCTGAAACCTAACAGTTCTGGCTAAATACATTATACATTTTACAGCTTGTGGTTGGACTTCACGCACATACAAGTAGTGGTAATTTTCCAGTAGTAAGTCACGCCAGTCAAAAAATTATAGTTAGAGTAAGTGATAATGAAACAATCAGATACTGTTATTGAATTAATTACTTTTCAGGCATCAAATCCTGGTCAATTCGAAAGTGATGTAGAACTTTGTTGGCAAAAAGGGCAAACACAGGTATACATAATAAATAATAGTATATTATTCAAAGATCGAGAAATGTGGTCATTACTTCTAAGAATAAAGCTAGTATTCACTATTTTTCATGGTTAGAATATTATACTTTTTCTTATATAAATCACAAAAATCATTCCTGAATGACAATATAATTAATTTCATATGAAGCAACCCAAAAAAAGCATCAGAAATATTTCCTATTTCTGTTATTTATTTCGAATACTTTGAAAACTGATTGTTTGAAAAAGAGATTGAAAAACTACAGTTGGTGTCTTTGAAACTATGATCATTAGTTCACAAACTCTGAGTTCATCAACAACTACTTCACCGAGCTTTTTACATATTTTCTTATTAAGTGACGAACTTTTGAAAAATATGAATAATTTGTCATGTTATTCGTTTATAAATAGTTTTTTTTTGAGAGAAACTACATTTTTTTAAAAAAAGTGTCAGTTCAATTTGACAATGACCTACCAGTCCAGAATTTGTTCTCTTCAAATATGTATAATGTTAAAGATCAACTTGGAAGTAGGTAAATTCTCAAGGCTTATTTGCCAATGAAGTACATATCTGTGAATGAAAATAATCGTATCTCAGATTGGTCTCGTTTTTAAGTAATGTATCTAGTCAATTGTAATTGGTTCAAAGGTGTTGAGTCAGAGAAATGAACTAGAGTTCCTTACCCAACAAAAAATGGATCTATTTTGAAATATTTTTAAGTAATGTATCTAGTCAATTGTAATTGGTTCAAAGGTGTTGAATCAGAGAAATGAACTAGAGTTCCTTACCCAACAAAAAATGGATCTATAATTGAAATATTTTCCAATGGTCATGACAAATAATTTTTTGCAGGTTTTGCTTTTTAGGTCAATTGAGAATTAATTTTAAAACAAAAATATATTAAATTTAATATCGAGGATTAATCATTTTCTCAAGTTCAATTCCCATCTATTCGTATTAATATAATTTACGAATTCATTTTTATTTGAACGTGTATTAATGAAACATATCTTGATGTTGAATATACCTATTTTTGTATTTGGGTCATGCATTTCTAATAATATTGCATGTAATAATTAGCAAATTTCCTCAAATATTTCACCAGGTTTCATTTCCCTAAAAGAATACCATTTATTCAATGATTCATTAAACTTTTCAGGATTCTGTAGTGCATAGTGGTCGAGTAGGCATTAATACAGATAGACCTGATGAATCCTTGGTAGTTCATGGTAACATTAAAATAACAGGGCACATCATCCAACCAAGTGATATAAGAGCTAAGAAAAATATTGTGGAATGTAATTCTGCAGAGCAGTTGAAAAATGTACAAAGACTACGAGTTGTGAGGTGGGTATTTGCTATTATATCAAATATAAAGGCCTTATGTTTATTCTTGTACAGAAAACTTTTTCATTTCAAAATATTTTCGAATACAATGTTTCAAATAGAGTGGAAGAAAAAAATAATTCAGAACAGTCTAAAAATCACTCAAAAAATAATTAACCAGCTACCAAATATTTGATGGGAAGTTTCTATTAAGTGAAGTTCAGATGTTCTCCATTTGCTTTATAAATCTTTATTGTCATTTTTACTTCCATTATTAGTGAAAACTATTATTATTAACAGGGCCCGATCTAGCTATTCAACCGCTCCGGACAAAAATAATATTCATCCCAGTTGACTAATATGCATGTGTATTGTAATTTAAATCAAATGTTTGTACTGAACTTCTTAACGATCTTTATATTCTTGATGATCTCGATATGATTTTTTCAACCTTATGATTTACCGTCTAATTCTCAAATTCCATCATATAATGTAATTTGTTTTAATGAGTATGTTGATTTGTTTTAATGAGTATGTCTTTGTATTTTTTATTTCTCAATTCATGACCACCATTGATTGTGGAATCTTACGATCTATATAGCCTGATTTTAATTGCGCCATTTGTTTGACATGTCTATAAACCTTGTCTTTCTCAAGATGAGTGAAGATATTATTATTATCGCCCTTTACACTAACACTATATAAGTCATGAGCTTGCTTTTCCAAGAATAGGATGTCATGTATGTTTTAATGTATAATATTCACATTTGTTAGTCTACTGGGGCTTCTGAACAAGTTTATAAAAGTTCATGATAGTATGTATATACAGTGTGTAAAAGCCAAATGGAATAAATTAATTATTTTAACAAAATCCCGAAACACGTCAAATTTAAATTATAATTTGACATACTTCAACGGAAAAATGCTACCCCTACCTTCAACCCCCGTCGAATGACAGGTACAACCCCCAATTTTTTAAATGGGAAGTATAGGCTTGTGATATATCGTTTGAAAGACCTCTTCATTCTCTATTCAAAAACGTTATCGCTTTCAAGTTTATTGGAAAAATTAAGGTTATATGAATTAAAATCATGTGGATACTTAAATTCGATAAAATACACTCAAAACTTATTGCAATATACTCAAAACTTATTTCATGTTGAGGTATTGATAATAAGAAAGTAGCAAAAACCATAGCAATGTTCTTTTTAGATGGTATCCTTTCAAAAACTGTGAATAATTTTCATGGCAACGTTAGTTTAAAACGCCTTGTCAACTTGTTTTGTATGTTAGTTACAACATTAGTTGTCAGTATTTTAATTTAAGTTTAAAGTTCGTTAACTTAAAATCTGACAAAGGGCTAGGTTAACGGAAATGCATAAAATAACAGTTTTACAAATGATTGGTTATGAAGATAAAACCCGAACACAACAGGAAGTAGCTCGCCTATTTCATGGAACAATAAGCAAAACAGAGAAGCAGTTTCGCGAGCTTGGTCATGTGGGGCAGATAAAAACAGCAGCTGCCGATGCAATGAGTGATGAATTCAAATTAGATGTGATGCTTGAGTTTGAGGAAAACTCACATACATCGAGTAGACAGGCGTCTACTACATTCAGTGTTAGCCATACATCGATAGTAAACATATTAAAAGAAAATAAAATGCATCCCTATAAAATGATACCTACTCTGGAGCTCATGGAAGACGATTTTGATAGAAGAACTCATTTTTGTGAGCAAATGATGGACATGTTGGATAACAATATCATCCAATTAGCAGACGTTATGTTTTCTGATGAGTGTAGTTTGTCTCTTAACGTTTATGCTAATCGACAAAATTGCTTCTACTGGTCAACGGAAAATCCTCACTGGATGAGAGAAAAACACAATACCCTCAAAAGGTTAATGTTTGGTCCCTTTTTCATTGAGGGCAACTTGAATGGCGATAATTATTTGGCACTACTTCAAAACGATGTCATTCCAAGTTTAGCAAACTTATATCCTGATCCAGGAAACCCCCAAGTCCAGTGAATTTGATATGGTTTCAGCAGGATGGAGCACCACCACTTTACCAAGTTAATGTCCGTTAATACCTCGATACAACATTTCCCAATCGGTGGATAGGGAGGCGAGGATCGATTGAATGGTCAGTACGATCACCTGATCTTCAGAATTAGATTTTTTTTATGAGGATATGTAAAGAGCAATGTGTACAAAACTAAACCTTCTGATTTGAATGACCTAAAAAAACGAATAATGTTTGCGATTAGGTCGGTCACGCCTGATATGTTGAATGTTAGTTTTATTTGAGATTATATGATCATATTTGTACTTCTACAGATATGAATATGAACCTAGTCTAGCCCAACAATTGAGCAGAGACAGTGAGTTCTCAGATACAGGGGTCATTGCTCAGGAAGTGGCAACCGTTTTACCGGAGGCCGTGAGACCTGCTGGGGATCTCATATTGCCAAATGGGACTTCCATTGAAAACTTTTTGGTTGTCAATAAGGTAAAATCAATATAATTATTCATTTTCTCAAAAAATTGTTCGAAAACATTTTCAGGAGCGAATATTTATGGAAAACATTGGAGCTGTGAAAGAGCTTTGTAAAGTTACAGATAACTTAGAAACGAGAATTGATCAATTGGAGAGGATTAATAGAAGATTAAGTAAATTGAAACGAGGGGATAGTTTAAAGTCTACAAGTACTGGTGAGGTTTGATATGGACTAAGATTTAATCAATTTGAATACCCCTTCTTTTTAGTTAATAGTTCGAAATTGTCTTATATCCACAAATGCTCCAAGCATCACCATTCCTGCAATAAAGAAGAAGAGCTGTGCTCAAATAAATTTATACAAATTGTTATAGTTGTATTGGTTTTAATAATGGCGTTTTGGTTAGTATAAATGTGAAAGACATTGTAATTATCACAGTGGAAATGTGTTAGTTATTACCAAATTCTTATATAACATTGAAACTATTGATTATATTTGTATTTTCCTCAGTTTAGCAGCAATAACTACTCTCTATTTAATGGAAGTGACTCGCCGATCACAGTTTATGCAACCTTCCCTTGAAAGATCTCACAATAATAATTATATTACAAAAAGACCTTCCAAAACTACAAAGGCACATACATGGGCACCAACAACTTCTGCGTATACAACACATGCATATAAAGAATCAGGTAAATACTTAGTGAATATGATTAGTTTTTTATTACCGTTATCTCATTTCAGAAATAACAAAAATAACGTTAGATCCCAGCCTTATAAATAGAAGACCGTCATTCATTATAGGCAGACCTTTAGGTTGCCTTACTGTGGAGCAAGATCTGGAAAGTTCGGATTTATGCCAGGTAAAATCAACATTCTTAGTAGTATTATATACTGAATACTGAAATTAATTTTTTTATTTCATTTTTCTATTGCACAATGCTATCCCTCTGATGTACCACTCCTCCAGATCTGTTTTTCTACATCAATTTTTTTATTCACATTTGTTGGTTCAGATGCAGGGATACCAGAATTGAAGACATTTGTCCTTGTTTCTTTTCCATGTGGAAAAGATTTATGTCTACCTACTCCAAGTTTTACAATAATTTTAAAAATTCTTCCCAGAACCCTCATAATGCTGTGTTTGTGAACTTATGTGTAGAAAAATTACCCCATTATGAATTCATAATAATGTTACGTTAAGCACTTTTTCTCATTCAGTTTATATCCCAAATATTCGTAATGGACTAAAAACAAATATCAATCATATAATTTCATAATTTTATGAGTGACATGTCTTTCAAAGTTATCCAAAACGGTTCTGATGAAAGTCGATGATACGTGTTTTTATCCAAAAATAATTTCCGTATAATTTCCAGTGCTCCAGTTGTCCTTATAGCATATACTATTTTGTTTGATGCCTGGGTCTTCAGTCTTATTTCATTGATGGTGGGCATAGCTTCATTTCTATTGGTTGAATTAAAAAGCCTCAATCATGTGCAGGTCCCCATATATTATTTATGACAATTTCCGTTTCCTTTCTAAATTGTCTCTGCATTTATGAATTTCAATCGCCTTGGAGTTTACAGGGAGGGATAAAATTCATAAATATAAAGACCATTTCAATCAAAAGGAAGAAATAATTAACATAATTATGGATTGGCTGATTGTACGAATCAAGCTATTTCATTCATCCAATAGGCTGAATGCCAGGCCCATTATGGCCAAAATAAAAAAATTCTTTATTGCCTATTTCTCTATAGTAAATTTAAGGTCAAATGTACAGAGTATATATACAATATACATCTCTCCCACAAACGGGAGTGGGTGGGGGGCAGGAAAAGGGTTGGTAAAGGAAAGGGGAGGATCAGCAGGATGAGACTTCAATATCGAGCCCCGGGACGTCCACAGGGTGAAGCGCCACCTCCGGCCAATGGGAGGCGCCTCTGCTTTTCGGCAGAAAGAACTTGAAGAATTTATATGACAGCCTTCTGATATGTTCAGTGACTGTCTCGACTCCTGCCAGGTCTAACAGATCATTCAATGAAATGTATTTGTCACTGTTCATGCAGATTCAGAGCACCTTATTCTGCATCGTCTCAAGTCTCCGCAGAGGAGTCCTCTTGAGGCTGCAAAATACGGGACAAGCGTACAACATAGCTAGTCTGATTACTTGTTTGTAATTAGCAGGTTTTTGTCAACACTAAGGTTCGAGTTCTGTGCAACGAGCGGGTACGTGCGTTTAACCGCAGCACCATTTCGGATGGAATAAAACTGGAAATCCTGACATGGAACATAATACTATGTGATGTGAGGACAATTTCGTTTACCTAATTGCTTTTGATAATGTGTACCGCAGTTGTAGACGAAACGTCATGCATAAACAGTTTGACAGTTTTCTCTGGCCGTGAAAGCTTACACAATTTATATTATATTTCATATTCTTCAACTCAAATAATAAGTTTGGTGGATGTTAATTTTTAATTCCTTTCAGATCTTCTGTTGTACAAATCCCCCACAAAAGCCAACTCCGGAGCCTGTTGCTTCACACATTTCTGAGAAAAGACCCAACTTGAACAAAACCAAGACAGGACCACTAATAAGCATTGAAAAAAATAAAATATCGAAACCATTTCATTCCAATGATATTGACAAGCAAATAAGATTGAAAAGAGATACTTACAGTGACGATCCTAATTTCTTTGATGTGACAGGTAAAATTAGGAGTAATTATCCAAAACTAATATTTATATTTTTGATCTCATTTTAGATGATCAAATGTTTGTTGTTACAATCCAAGGAAAGCATTTCAATACAACGTTAACGGACAAATATAAGGATCCGGTTTCAAACTCTATGTTCAATCATTCTTATTCTATCCCTATTTCAAAGTACATGCCCGATGAATTTATTGCTTTAATTTTCAGGTAAGAACTAAATATTTTTTTCACTTTAAGAACATTTTGACTATGTTTATATCAACAATTTTTATCTCCTTGAAAAGTGGGTTGAAACTGTTTTTGTCATCATTCAATTAGGACATTGAACGGAGATAGATATATTTTTAATCCTCTTTTCAAATTCAGCTATTCGAAAATTCATCTTCAATCCCGGGTGTACATCCGTTTGTCTTTAACATTATCACGACGTTTCAATAATATCTCACTTGTCATATTCATGTGCTCTGTACAGAACAGAAAATACTGGAACGTCATTTTACAGTGGTTGGAAGAAATGTGTAAAACAGAATTATTATGAATAATCAAGTTGCCTTAAAACTTTGTTAAAATACTGGAATCAATGAAGTCGCCCCGGAGCGCCAATTAATTTTTATTGTTGTATTTATTTTATTTTTATCGTTAGTGAAACAAGTTAAAATACTATTTGTCGAATATTCTTAAGTATATCATAAAAATGTCATAAATTATTGTAACTGTCAACTGTTCGAATATTTTTCCGAAATGCCGTTTTCCCATCAAGAAAAATGTGATATGTTAGAATCCTACTTGGTTTGCCAGAAAAATACCGTAAGAGCCCTCCAACACTACAGCAATTCGTTCTCCGATCGTGAATTACCTAATCGGCATTATTTTGCTGTGCTTCATCATCGATTCAGGAACAAAAAAAAAAGTTTTTGACAAGAGGAGAACTAAAAAACGTTTTGTTATATCTGAAGATACAGAAACTGACGTTTTAGACTAATTTGAGGTAAATCCAAATAATTTCATCAGAGATTTATCTAGCTGTTCCACCGTCTGTTATTCAACGAATTCTGTAGAAATATTCTATAGAAATATTATAACCAATAGATTTTCTTGTTGAAAAAATCAACTTTGTATATTTTAGAGAAATTTTATATGTAATTTCCAGGTCATCTCAAGATAAAGTAAGGGACATAGAACAGTGTCACAATGACGACAAACAACATGAATGCCCTTTTGTCAGTTCACACGCATATTATGATGATAAAATGAAAATAAGGCACAAAGTCAATGAAAACAGTCCTAAAATTATTGAAAACTTTCCCAGTCAAATCTTTGGCATTCAAAATATCGTTTTTGAAGTTGATATGATTGATTTTCAATCCAAAGTTATGACTTATAGAGCATCACTTGGACAGAATCAGGTAAGAATTTAATATTTTATAGAATTTTTTTGAACTAATTTGTCACATAATTTTAAACTTGAGTATATTGTGCGATTCTAGGTTTTCATAAAGGATTTTTGAAAATTATTGCTTTTGTACAGGCGATGTAAAAATTAGATATTCTATTCAAATTGAATATATGATATGCACTATTTTCAAACTATTTTAGATCATTCATTTGTAAGAAAGTTTAAAGCATTTTCAGACTAAGAAAAGGTTTAGAGATATTTGAATACATCAGAAAGATTTGTTTTTCTAATACCAGAGAACTAATAGTATAAACATAATATTTTTTTACTGCTGTACATAAAATTAATCATTATCTAACAATTAAAGATTAAAAATGTAACATTTATTTCTTGTAATTAGCTTTAGATTAATGTTAGTTTATATGATATATACCTAACATAATGATGTAAAAGTAAAAATGCACAATCATTTACCAGAGTATGTCAAGAAATCAGTTAGAACATTAACTCTTTCAATAAAAACATGAAACATTGATTGACAATCATATCCTATTATTATAGTCTGTGTGAATATCATAATGATCAATTTCGGATTGGAAGCTTGTATATTGCTTATATATATGTTATTTTTGTGAGTTTGTGTTTATATGTACCTACCTGTTTATATTTTTCATAATTTCTTATGATTGTAGTGGGTTACAAATAATGGTTTATTGGTGTTGGGATAGAAATCCAGTAATAATCATAAGTTGTTAAAGATAGTTTAATAACCCAGGAAATCCATAATATTGATTTCACTCTGTACAATGATTTCAAAAATTAAAAATGAATAGCTGAAAATAAAAATTATATTAAGCAAAAAACCTGAAATGAAATAATAGTGAACTAAAATACATGTAAAAAATAGAACAATCGAACAAAAAAATGAAAATAAAAAATTAAGAGATTCCAATCGACGATTGTGGATACTGACAATCGAAACGACGTGAAGTAAATTGGCTTGGAATCTCTTAATTTTTCACTATTATTTCATTTCAGGTTTTTTTGCTTAATATAATTGTTATTTTCAGCTATTCATTTTCAATTCTTCCTTAGTTCATACAGGGATTTCAAATCATTTTATATAATATCAGACAATGGAAGTCCGAACTAATGAAATTCATCATGAAACATGTCAATCACCTTCAAACAAATTTCAAGAACTTTCTTCAGAAATTATGTAACATGTTCTTTAGTTTATATATTGATGAATTGAACAAAAAATGAATATTTTGAAAATAGTATTATTTGGAAGTAAAAACAAGCCTTACAATATGCTTACAAAAAAAAAATAATTTGAGTTTGGATCGAGTTAAAAAATGCATATCATGTGAATATTAAGTGAATAACAACTAATCTCCTTCTTTTGTTACAGAATATTTGCAAATTATCATCAACCAAATTAGGGATAGAATTCCTGGAATATAATTTTCATTTTTATAGACACTGTGATGAGTAAGATTTTTACATACTATTTTTTTCCTATTAAGTTTAAGATAAGATATTTCTTCACATGAACAAAAGTTTGAAAAGCATGACAGATTTTATTGTATAGTATGATTTGTAAATTGGTGATCTGAGAATTTTTTGTGGACATTGTTATTTTTTCGTTTTGTTTTATGTTATATATTCAGATATATATTGTAGCAGAAATAAAGTATAATATTTATTTCAAGAGGTCTGTTTGCACTCCTTGTGGTGTTTTGAATTTCATTTCATTTGATTCATTTTGAGGAGACTAAGCATGAAATCCTTAGGCATTTCCAAAAAGTCGTAAGAAAATATAATGGAAAAACTCAATTTATAATGAAAACATAAAAAGCAACTTTAACTAAGATTTAAAAAAAAAAATTCTGTTTTTTTGGAACTCGTCAACTGGGAGCAAATTTTCACTGAATCCTGGTTCCCCCTCATAAAAACAGTTTCCTAAAAACAGATTTTTACAGATCTCTACGAATTCGTAATGCATATTTTCCTGGTAAATTGTTTTCATCAATCTTTATTGATAGCGGTAAGCTTTTAGCTAATTATAAAATTTCTTTGGTTTCCAATCGCTAATTGCCATTAGTACCAGAAAATTGGGTTTGAGTTAATATAAATTTTTTTCAGAAATTTAAAATGAATGAGAAAAGAAAATATCTTTGAAAATCACTGTACTCAAAACCTTCAAACCTTATAATCTACTTTTCATAAGTATTTTGTAAAAGTTTTCAGTGCATTGTTTTCGCAACAATAAAATACCAGAAAAATTAGATCTGTTATTATACAATGATATTGTAAATTTGCGAAGAAATAGTGAATCTTTTGGGCTTGGAAAAGTGCCTTTTCTAATAATATCAGATTGCTTGACTTGGAAGTATGAGTGACCACATCACCGCATCAGAGGAGATGAAAATAAAACTTCTAGAATCAATGAAAATTCAAAAACCTACAAAATGTAAAGATAAATTTTAAAATAATTATATAGCTGGAAAACAGCATGATTTAACAATATAAAAACGGAGAGAATGATAGAAGTTATAATTGGGACGATATAAAAACATATTGAACAAAAATAGTTGAAAGATTTGACTTTGAAATGATTGTTCAACAGTTTTCCAGCTGTATAATGCATTTTTATTTTGAATACTTTTTATTATTTCAATAAGTACTTAAGAGTGTGTCCGTCCAATTCGTGGGTAATATTTTAAGAAAAAATGAAATTATTTTAGTAGACGAGCTAAGATGTAGTATAGGTAGTGTGTAATTTTACAAAATAATAGGAAAAACATAAATTGTGTTATAATATGCATTCCATTTTCTAGGTGTATCTTGATGAATGTTTTTGTTTTATATAGGTACTTTTAATATATTCCTATTTCAAAGTTATATGAACAATTATTTAAAATAGTGTAAAATATGATATTTATGTAAAATGCAATATTGAATGTTTTGTTTTTTTTGTGATTGTGTAAAATAAATTGTTTTCTTTTGACTTACTATTTTACTTTTTTTTGGGAAGTAAACTTTTGGCTTTTTACTTCTCCATTATTTAACAAAAAATGTGGGAAACTTCCAAAGAAAGGAAGAAAGAAAATACATACAATAATAACACTTTATAAAGATATGAAGAGCATACACAGAAAAAAAAGTTTTCGAAACAACTACTTGAGAAAAAGTGATTTCAGTATAGTTCAATGTTCATATGAAAGTATTTATTTTGAAAATACTTTTCCCTTACGTTTTATTCAAAGTTTATGTGAAATTAGTTGTTACGAAAGGGTTTTTTCTTCCAATTTGTATCTAAAGGAAACCTCTGTGTATGGACTTTTCTCAAATTTTTTGTTTAATGATTGAAAATTAGAAAGACAAAAGGGTTTCTTCCCAAAAAATATATAAACACTCTTACTATACAATACTTTTTTTTCTGAATCTCATTTCACTTACAAAGCTGGGGTATCAGAAGATAATTTATTTCTTTTGAATCATCTCCTGATGACATCTCATGAAATCATTAGATGAAAACAACATAATATCTTCATATTTTTTTTTTTATACAATTATTAAAATTGGTTCTAGAGTTTCACAAAAAAGAGAAAACGTTTTAATCTTTCATTATTATAATTTCTGAAGGGTTCCAAAAAAATACTAATTAAACTCATTCACACACGAGAAGAAATGAAAGTATGTTTCTAAATCATATTTATGAAAGTTTTTCAAATGGCATTTTTTCAGTTAAAATTATATTAGGGAACAATACATTATCAATATAAATTACATTGAACCTTGTGCCAAGACGTTGCCCAATATTTTCTCTGAACAAAACACAATGCCTAAGGATCTTGAAACAGCAAAACTTAAAGTACTAACAGAATACAAATTATCTTCTCTCATGTGCCGATAAATTGGCATCTGACTTGTAATATTTTACTCTCCTCCAAAAATTGTAGATTGGTAAGTAGAGTTAGAACCCCTGGTATGAAATGAATATATTGCAAACAACTTTTCTCTCACTAGAACAAAAATACTGTCTCTCGACGTGTGTTTCGCTAACCAAGTTAAAAGAGATGATTAAAACTGAAGATTTTATGTACTTCTGAGCTAGCCACCAGCTTCGGTAATAAGGAAATAAAATACAATAACAAAATAACTTATCAGCTAGTAGTGAGAATTAATTCATTTATGACGCTCATCTGATTATACTTATTTGATGACCTTCATTTTTCAAGGTGGTGGTTTGTCCAGATGTATATAAAAGCTCATAAGTTGCTTGTAAGGTATAGCTTTAGTCATCTCCTGATGAAGCTAACTTGGTTAGTGAAACATGAGTTGAGAGACAGCATTTTTATTCCGATGTGGGAAAAGGGTTTTCAATAGAAAAAGTGTAGGATAAGTTCATTAACTCATTCTGTTGATGGATCGTTCTGCTTTAACGTATTCCAAATAAGTAAAAAGAATATTCTAAATCACTACAGAAATTTTGTTTATTCAGAGTGAAATAAAAAATTAGGGAGAAAGCAGTAAATTTACATATTCGAAAATATTGGTATTGCTTCAAGATTTGAAGCAACCGTCAGCAAGAAGTGATCAGTTTTTTTATGTCACTCGTCTTTGGAATAATGCAAATGGGAAACAGAGTGGCACATTGTTTACAACTTTGCTGGCCTACTATAAAGGTCAACCAATCTATTTTGGTTTATGATTCAGATACCCACTCAATAGTTCAAAAGTAGAATTAAAAACATGTCGACTTACAAATCTGAGCTGTGATATGAATTATATTCACACATCCCCCATTGTCAAACAATTTTTTTTCTATCGCTTGGTACACATAAGGTATTTTTGGCTAGTTGGTTTTTTGAAAGTAGAATTTCTTCAATAATTTCCAGTTTTACTTCATTTTACATACAAACATCGTGTACTATTGGAAAATATTGCTAAGTAGTTTGAAAAAAAAAATGCTACGATCACCGACAACTGTTTGATTTGCTTTCATGATCAATGTGGAATTCAATTCGGTACTACTCGTGATATCATTTGAATCACCAAAATTCTACATTGACATCAGGAGAAACAATAAAGTTAGGGGGTTGATCCCGAATCGTTTTACATACTCTAGCATCCATTTGGTTTTGAGTAAAATTTAAAGGTTCTCAGAAAAAATGTACGATGCTTTTTTACATGAAAAAATTTTCATAATAATGATTCCGGGCTATATATTAGTTGGAAGGGGTGTAGTACTTTGTTTCCGAACTATTGGGTGAAACTTTGTCCCATAAAATTGAATAAGTTCTGTTGTATATAGTTCAGAAACCCTAGTCCGGTCTCTTCTCAAAACATTAGCAAAAATCATTGTTTTAGATCACAGCTTCTCTCAAACTTAATAATTTTTGGAAAGTTCCACTTTTTCTTTAGTAAATAGTACTTTACTAGTAGTATTTTCATGATAAAAAGTGAATTTTTTCTCCTACATTCGTTCCAGCAATTCACAAAACATTTCAAAATCGGAAACTTTTACCCTTTTTCACTCACACTCACTCAAATAAGGTAGCCCTAGGATAGATAGATATACCTCCTGAGGGATCTATGCGTCCGAAAATGACCACCAGATAGTACTGGACTAATATTTAAAAAACCTGAAATCAATTGCGACTGTCGAATAGTTTGAAATGAAATAACTTTCTGGGTATGTATATTTGTACTTTGGGTTTCTGATAGTTATGTATTTATTGTATGTCGAAACTCCTGCTGACTAGTCCTATTTAATCAGTGATCAGTAAAAAGAAAAAAGATACTATTATTGAATTAAAGCAGAGGGTTGTAATTAATCTTCAAATGAATATATAGCTTATATCACTTAGAAACTTGTGAACATAAATAAATACAAATAAAATAGAATGAAAATGATTTTTACATAAATATATATATTCAAATAAACTCATTTAAATATTTGAAAATAGGTTGTATCTGCTGGGAATACTTCGTTAATTAGCAGTATCGTTTCCTTGGTCGGCACAATCGTGAATAAGGAGACCACATCGAAGCTCAGTAGTATGTCTCCAGGACGTAGCTTTATGTCTCTAATCTTTTCGATAAAATGCTCCGAGACCTTGATGAATGATTCTGTGTTTCCTAAATGAGGTTGCAATAAGGTAGTCAGGTATTTGGCCAGTCCATAAGTTGGTGAACCTATCGCGTTTACGATAGGTCTCAGTGACACATACTCTTCATGTATTTTCGTTAAACCATGGTGAAAGTCTTCGGATGTATGTATGGCCTTTTTCGTGTTCTCACCCAGATTGGACGCATGTGCATCCAGTCTGGACGAGAACACAACAGTACCACATCGCCTTTGAAAATATCTACGGCAGCAGTAGACAGTTATCTCCAGCCGTGAAAGTTTACATTCTTCGACCCAAATGATAGCCATACTGCACATCACTTCTCTCAGTTCTAACACTAACTCATTTCTCCATGACAGGGAGGTTGATTTCATTAACTTATTGAATGCCAAATTCATTTTTCCATTTATTTGTACTTTGATCACTACATTTTGGATCAACAGATAATGAAAAAATAACAACTAAAGTGATTGCCACAAAAATTTAAATTATATGAATATATTAATCATCGTAATGAGGCTCTTCTTTTATGAGAACAGTATCAAACTCTCGCACTTTACTCAAGCTCCCATCACTTTGATCAGTTTTGTGAGACTTCACCATTTCTATAGTGGTGTTTCTGTGGGTCAGTATGTGTTTGATGTAGTCAGACTTTACTTTAGATCTGAAAGGACATTCCTTACAAAATAATGTGTTTGCTTTACATCTTGTTTTCTGGTGATCATCTAAAACATAACTCAAAGGTGATGTAAAGGGACAATTTGGGCATTTGGAAGTTTTAGTATTGGTTTGCTTTGGATGGCTCTGTTGTGAGAACTGGTGTTTCACAAGATGTTTTTCCAGTGAAATTTGAGTATGGGTTCTATAGGGGCAGCGAGAGCATTTGAATTTGGGTACAGTTTTAGACTTTTTAACTATCTGTACATTTGTTGTATACTTTTCAGTTAAATTTAATGCTGCAGTAGTTGTGTCTCCAGAACTATGAGCACTTTTCATGTGGGTGACAATATGCCTTTTTGAATTGGTTTCAAAATGGCATTCTGTACAACTAAATGCTTTTTTAGCTGTCTGGCCTATTTCATTCATATCAGAATTTTTATGTATCAGACTATGAACACTGAGTAATGCATCAGAATTTGTTTCATAACTACAACCAGGGTGTTCACATTTGGATTTTTTTACAACAGCTTCTTTTCCCTTATGCTCACGGTCACAGTGCCTAGTTAAGCAAACTTTCACTTTGGTTTTGAACTGACAGAGTGAACATTTCAAAACATCTTGAATATTGATTCCATGTTTATTCTTCATGTGACTGAGATAAGTTGATTCCCACTTTGTTTTATAACTTGCACAAAATTCGCATCTCATGTACACATCATCGCCTGATAAATGTTTGGTTTTATGAGTACGCAAATTATGTGCATATTTCGTTTTATATTTGCATTCACTGCAACGGTGCATTTTTGGCCTACAAAACAAAATTAGATTTTTAGAAACTACAAAAATATCGGAGCAAAGAAGTATACCCATTAGGATCATCCTCAGTATCTTCATTCAAAGTATCCATCGGTTCATCAATCTCAGTTTTAATGGTAATTTCATCATCATTTAACACTGTAGGCTCGTTTCCCAGTACTGTCTCACAAGTTTCATCATTGGAGGTATTTGTTGTATTATTTTCATTTGATGTGTATGGTGCTTTTTCATTTTCTTTACTTATGTCAATTGTACTTTCATTACTGTCGAGAGTAACTTTTCTTCGTTTCTTAGTCATTTTCAATATAAACTCTGGCAAATCTGGGAAAATGGAAGGTATAGAATCAGGTTTTAGTTTAGGTCTTTGATATTGTTCCTAAAATAAAACATTTTTGTTACCCCTTGAGCAACCAAGGTTAACATAGATGTCATGAAAACTACATCAACTACTTCAGTTCTATACAATTAGTCAAAACATTCTAACAATGTTTTAACAGGACTGAAAAAATTTATTGGGAAGATTGTAAAAAATACTTTTCTTTGATTTTCTGCTGCTGTTCTACCATTATTGAAAATAGGAAACCTATCATCATCTACAAACATTAATTTCAAATACATAGTGGAGGAAAGGTCTCTTCGGAAACAACTACTTATTTTTACAAATATTGAATTACATATAAATACATTTTTCTTGTTGAATATGGGAAAATTTCCAATGAAAAAATTAAAGACAAACAATTTTAATGGAGATACATATTTGAAAAATTAAAATATAACTTTAAATATTGTTTCCATAAGTACTAAACAATTATCATATTACATCGGCATCATTTTTTGATAATAGGAGCCTGTAAAGAAATACTTTTTATTTCTCAAATTCATCAAATTAATAAATTGATTAGTGTAGCCGTTACTAACAAGGTAGGAGATGTTCATGATAATTGAGAAATGAAACTTTCTGTTTTTCACCACTTTCATTTGTAACTATCGATACTGCAGTTTCGTGCTATGTGGACATTTTCAAGCCAATGTCCATATACGACAAAACTGAACATATGAACATTAGTTTGGAAATGTCCATATACGAACTGCAGTAACGATACTTACGAATAAAAGTGGTAAAAAACAGAAAGCTTCATTTCTCATTTTTCATCATCAAATTAACTTGGTTAAATTTCTTTTGCTAGAACAGATTACAACAGATATTTGAAAAACATGCAAGAATTTTGTTGATCCAAAAAAAATAACTGAAATACTACCTATGAGAAATTGAAAACGAGAAGATTATAAATAATGCTCATAATTTATAATATTAATACATTAAGTACTTTGTAAAGAAATTATATATGTTTTGAAACATCTCATCTATTAACTGTTTGTAAGACATTATTTACAAGAGTACAAATAATGAATGGTACCCTATTTATATTTTCTACTCAACTATTTCTTCTCGGGCAAGTGAAAATGTGTCTGAAAAGATTGAGAATGTATACTCTCATTTTACTAGATTGATGAGTAATATACTTCACAGGTATTGAAGTTTACACATTTGACCAAATTGACCTCTTTATGTGAGAACTAAAATTATTTAAGATTATTATGTATATGTTAAGTTTCACTGTCCTTAAAAAATGGATTCTAATATTTGTATCACCATCTAATTAGTATACCAAAAGCTATTTTCTGGGTTTGTTGTATGTGGTTCTGCAGGTTTTTATGCATGACGTTTCATCTATGACTGGTGGATATTATCAAAAGCAATGAGGCAACAGAAGAGGTGCTCCAGTTGTCCTCACAGCATTGCCTCATTGCCTTTGATAATGTCTACCATATCATAGATGCACACCTCGACCGACAAACCTGGATAAATGTAGTCATTGGTCATATTCATGTTGACAGATTTAATCTCTTTGTGGATTAGATTGAAACTATTTCTATCATAGCGATGAGACGATGAAATTGAAAAAATTAATATATTTTCAATATTATTCTCGAGCTTTTCAAAGTTTTGGAGATAAATGTATTTATTCAATGAAACTAAAAAAAGAATGATATAGACCGTTTTCATTTCAATATATCTGTTGACCAATAGTGATTTCTTCATTTGACGAATAATAGCCTAATAATTTAACTAATAACAACTAAATTATGTATATGACCGGCACCAAAAAGTACCCTGTTTCTAGAGGGAAAAAATGATAAGTTTCCCATTTTTTATATATTATTCAAGGAGTAGAAATCCGAAAAAAGATTTTTTTGTGACTACAAAACTGCAGATTATTATTGAATCATTACTATAAAAATTGAAACATTTTACATACAACAACATCGTTTATTATCCTTTTGCGAAGAATATCGTCATCTTTAAAATGTTTTTCACACACATAATCCTTTGGAGTAATGGGTCTATCCTCCCTTGCTATGGCCTCTTGCCATTTACTTAGAAAAAAATCGTCATCTGGAACTTTATACAAGGAAGCTTTTTCTTTGCATTTTCGATAACCTGTATAACAATGTGGAACAGCACATTTTCTTCCCATAGCTTTGTGAAATAATTTCGAATAATATAAATATTAAATATACATAACCCAACTAAATTCTTATCTTTGACAGAATGTCATTTCATAGAATAACTAGTAGATAGTAATGTATTCTATGGTCAATTATAAAAGCAACATATTACATTCGTCCAGCAGCTCCCAGTGATTAAGTTGTACTCAGTCTCTCAGTCATAACAGGACGAACGGCGATGTCAATCGTTGGGGAATTCCCCAATTTTTGGGAATAGAACATAGAACACTAGTTTGGAAATTTGTTGGCGAGTCAAAAATATTGAGAAATTTTGGGGATTTAAGTTTTCACTATTGTGGCGTCTCACCCAGTACAAAAGGAAACATTTTTGCTATTTTTTACTGAGATTTTTTGTATTAAAAACGATAAAAAGTGGATTCCAAGTTTTTTACAATACATTTTGGTCCTACGAAAACAAATTGATATCAACTATGGATGGAAAACAAGGAAATACAATCGAAAAATTGAAACGAATTGAAGCTGGTGTCAACTGAAGTCTCCCCGGTGATTTTATATTGCCAAGCGGTTTTGACGTGAGAGGTGATGGACACCTGAGGAATATATCTATATATAATACAGTCATTTCTTCAAATACTGCAAATTCTGTATTACCATCATCAAAAAAATCAAATTTCTCTATTCGACGTTAAGTGTCATCGCCGAAAAATTAAATTGTCAGAAAAGGTCTTAATCCAGAAAATTCTAGAAAATCTAATGCATCTTCAGTTAATTATTGAACAACGTCTAAAGTGTTTCTAGTTTTTCAAAAGAAACACTTAGCAATATCTAGATAGAAAAAGAAAAGCTGGAGTTGGAGAGGCTAAATGTAGATTTAAAGAAAAAACAGTAAGAAATCGAGAATAAAATGAAGATGTTGCAACTGAAACAGGATATGAAAGAAGCTGTATTGGAAACAGATTAATTGAATAGTCATGGAACTGATAGATCATCGGGAGCTGATAGATTCTCGGGAACTGATAGATCATGGGGAGCTAGCAGGGATTCCATATCCAAGGTGAGCTATATTTATAAGCATATCCACTTATTAATTGGATGTACTTTTTCAACCTGATACTAATGAAATGTTAACACAAACTTTGAGCCAACCTCGAGATGATTATGACTTGTTTATATCAGAGATATGAACAAGTTGTGAAGCGAAGTCAGCCGTGGCAGGTATGTTATCAACCTCTGAAAATGTAGATCTAATTATGGAAACATTACGGATGTGGTTTGAGAAGACAGATCATATGATAGAAGTCATTATTTCGAAAATAAAAACTATTCCATCGTTACGTAAATATAGAACGGTTTCAATAACACTGACGAGGTGAGCAAACTTGTTTTCTCCTTTCGAATAATTATCTGAAAAATTCACCACCACTTCTGAAGAAACTTTTAGCGAAATTACCCGATTCATTGAAGCTGAACTGGGGATAGGAAACCATGCCGAAAGACACTGAAATTTCTATTAAAGATGTTTATGTTTAGTTAGGAAATATTGCGACGGCGGCAAGCTGTGTGAGTACACCGAAGGTTTCCACATTCTTGTGGTAATCACGGAAAATTCTTGTTCAATTTTGAAATCTGATAATGTGAAAAACGATAACTGATAAAAAGACAACAATGCAAAGCCAACGGATGTAAGGCCTTTTATTTCTCTACAAAGAATATTTTTTGCAACTATCCGATGGATCTAATGATGTTAAAGTTCCAACAACTAATACAAATGAAGTGGTATGTGCTGTGAAACATGATTCAAATAGAATTCTACTTCGAATACTTCCAGTAAAATTGGTCGGACCATAAGGGATAATTAACACCCTGCCCTAGAGATATGTGACGAGACTTCGACAATGAGTCTAATTGATGAAACTTTAATGAGAAAACTTATTCTTAATGGTAAGCTGGAATCACTTTGTCTACAGTGAACAAACCGAATTGTTTCGCAGCTTGACAACTCAGTACGAGTCAACTTCGATATTTCTGGAATAGGAATATATTCGACGCTGTTGAGGATGATGGGTGTCAGAACTATTGAGAATTTATCGCTAATCTTGCAAACAATTGATATGGATGAATAGAAATATACATATGTAAAGACGTTCTCTTGAACGATATTTTCAACAAATCACGTATGATTCTTATCGGGCAAGATAGTGTACACTTGATAGTTACCAAATATTTTACCCATGCCACGAGATGTGAATTGGGATGGTGTCTGCATGGTTCTAACTCGGAAAGTAGTGGTTGCCAAGATGTTCACAATCTGCACATTTGCAATACTTGAATGCAAGATGATTATTACCCTCATGATCTCATTAAACAGTATTTTTCTACAGAAGCATTTGGAGTCATAATTCGCACATCTAAAGAAAATAAAGATGACAGAAGGGCGTTGTAGATAATGAAAATAACAAGAAAAATTGGAACAAGATATGATGAAGCTGGTCTTGTTTCGGATAATGAAACAAAATTACTGAAAAATTGAAAATTAGATAAACAATATTTTCTTGTTTATCCACAATTTGTCAAAAATTTGAATACAAATACATGTAATAAAAGCAATAATTCACAAGTTCTATATATTGCCGATTATCTGGATTCAGTGGATACTGAAGAAGAAGCTTTAGATTTTCAAGTAGTTCATCAACACAAATGAAATGGATGATGGAAAGACAAAGGAAACACAAAGAGTTTTAGGAGTTTGGTAGGATTCGAAATCTGATGACCTCTTGATGAAATTCCATTCAGTTGTTGATAGGCAGAAACTCCCTACGAAAAGACACGTTTTGCGAATCGTAATTTTTTTTTTTGATCCGCTGGGCCTTAAGGGATATCTCAGTGTAACTGAAAAAAATTTGATGCAAGACGTTCGGCCTCAGACCCTTCAAGGTTTTCTACGAACGATCCATACACTTTCTGAAGTAAGAATTCCACCATGTTTTTCTGTGAACATATCATCTGCTGATTCGATTAAGCTTCGCATGTTTTCAAATGCAAGTGAAGAAACGTTTACAACAGTAGCGTATCTGAAGACTTGGATACAAATCGAAGGCAAAAAATACAAACATTTTGTCTCTCATCGGATTGGGAAGATACAAGAATTGACGAAAATTCAAGATAAGAGATTGATAATTACTTCAAAAAATGTAGCAGTTGGAAGCTACCAGGAAAGTAAGAAAAAAAATATCGTGAACGTATTTTCAGTAGATGGTTCTATGGCCCAGATTTTCTAAAGAAATTTGAAAGTTACTGGCCGATAGAAAATCATTTCGAAGATAAATGTCGAGATTTATCTGAAATGAAGATGGAATTTGTCGTCATTACATCTTATGAAAACAAATATTATCTGTCCGATATCAAAAGATTTCAAGGTGTCCACCATTAATAAGATCCAGTGCCCGGATACTTCTGTTTATGAAAATTTCACTTCATAAAATTAAAAAAAAAAGAAAATTGTGATATAGAATGGAATATTTCTGTCGAAGAAGTGGTAGAGGCTGAGAAGTTGTGGATAAAAAACTTAAGTCCAAACTTTGGAGTAGACATATCCACTATCGAGAAGGGAAAAATATTAGACGAAAAAAACTCGGTTGAAGACATTGTACCCCATACTTGGAGAATGACTATTGATTTTTAGACAAGAGAACAGATTTAGCAGATATTATGTGAGATCCAAGAGGTCATATATCATGATAATACGAGGCTTCTCTTGCAACAATATCATGGGAAATGTCGATATCAGGAAATAGACATGATTCCCAATGAAGTTCGACAACAATTTTGGGTAATCATTGAAAGAGCAGCAGTAAAATTTACCTTCGGATGCTTTATAACCTGCATATAATTCAAAGCAATTCTCAAAACACCAAATGGAAAGTTAGTTCAGATCTGAAACTTTTAGTTAATGTGGAAATGGATAATTTTGGTAGGTACGTATCTTGTGACTGTCGAAAGAAGAAAGGAAGGAATATTTAGAGGTTGCATGCAGTTCAACCACGGATTCAGCAATGATGGTATTCGAAGAATGATGAAAGAGAAAAACCAGCAAAAATCTATTGTGATAACGGAACGAATCAAAGGAGAGCTGCAGGAGAACTTAGAAAAGCACTTCAAGAAATTAATTTCTCAGCATTTGATGATATAATGTGTTGAATGCATACAATTCAAAATAATACCAGAACTAAGTCCAAATATGAAACTAGCTTGGACACGATTTATTGGATCAGTGTAGAGAATAATTGAAAAAGTTTTGTTTATACAATTCCCGAAAGATGAAACCTTGCTGAACCTATTTGCAGAAGCTGAATATATTGTTAATTCTCAACTACTAACTCACGTGTTCGTAAATCCAATTGACCTTAAACCTCTAATACCTAATCAATTCCTCCATGGATTTATGAACTTAAATGAAGCAGCATCCATATCTGATCCACTACAAGAAAATCTTTGAAACTTTCTATGAGCGGTGTCAGTGTGAAAGTAGCGATTCACATTGGATTTGAATCGCTCAAGATTAAATCCATTTGGAAAAACACTCTCAGGAAGTTTATTCCACAAGAACGCAGTTCTCCAAATGAAAGAGTTCCTAAACAGTGAAGTTTGAGGTGTACTGAGTTGAACCTCAAAACGATGAGTAGCCACAGTCCATCGCGTATTTTTGATATGTACCGCTCTTGATGGAATCGAATGTGCCAAGTCACTTTAACACTCTCTGTGAAAGTATCTACAGAAGAGAGACAAATCTCCAACCTTTCTTCGATGGTTGCAAGTGATGTTCGCGTCTCCAATCAGGCATACGGCTCTTTTCTGGATGGAATTCAGAAGCTTCAGGGTATGCTTAAGGGCGGAGATGGACAAAGGAATGTTCACCTAGGCCAAAAAACGCGAAAAATGGACAAATGGTAGCCGAGAAACGGAAAATAGTTGAACTAGTCATCCTCTTGGGAGATAATATTCCAACAAAAAATTTGAATATACGATAAAAAAGGGATTTAAAATTTTCGAACGGAACAATTATTTTTCAATGTTAACATCAAAATATCAGAGATAAATAATTCAATCTGAATTTATGCCGTCATATTATTTTCCTTGTTCATATTATCTCGGTGTACTTTTAGTTCTAACGTTCTCTCTTTCGTTTTATCAGTAACAGTGCAATTCTTGAGAGCTTGAGAGGAAAAATGTCGTATTCGACCCCGTGTTGTATAAAATATCTGTATCCGATTTGTATATGACAATCTTGAATATCATATACTTGATATTTTTCTGTTATAGTAGTAGTGTTGTTATTTATTATTTACTGAAATTTATGTTCAATTGGGACTGCACAATACCAAAATTTTATAAATCTCTTGTACGGTCAGAGCAATAAGTTGCACCCTGGTTTTGCCAAAGGAAAGCGTTATAAGGAATGTAGAATGTTAGGTTAGGTTAGGAGTAACATTTTACATTCATTTACAAAATATATCAACCTGCAAGAGTTAATTTTTTTTTAATGAATACTTAAAATTACCTGAACACAAATACACAATGTCTGACGGCCTAACAGAATTAATAAAGTTCATTCAAATAGGTGCTCGATTGGACTTGAAAACTATTGCTGTAGAACATGTGTTAGGTATGGGATAAATGGTGATATGTTGATATACAGATATACACTCAAGACTTTTTTTCAGGATTGACTGGTTCTAAAGAAGGATTGGAAGTGATTGTAGATTGTCCACAACTCTTGGTTTCGTTGATCAGTTTGCTAGAAGATAAATGCATACCAGTAGGAAAGGACGCCAGTTTATGTTTAGTTAACATATCTGCCGATTCTAAAGGTGCCTCATCACTTGTAAACTTAGATGTTAAGAAACACTGTCCTCCACTCCAGAGACCACCAGAACATATTGTAATCCAAACTCTGAACAATATTCTCAATCCCGAAAGCCACATTGCTGATCACTGTTGTATGATTCTATCAAATCTAACACGACTTTCACATTTGATAGAAAACATAATTGAAATTATAAAGATGCGAGGAAATATTTTTGAGGAACTGATTAATATATTCACCAAAAATAAATACAATAAGAATGGAGCTACCTTGCATTATTTAGGGCCTGTTTTATCCAATCTTTCCCAAAGCCATGAAATCAGGAGATTCATTCTTGACCAAGATAAATGTGTAATACAAAGATTATTACCATTTACCGAATATAAAGATTCTCTTATCAGAAGAGGAGGAATCATTGCTACCTTGAAAAACTGTTGTTTTGAAGAAGAATTTCATGAATGGTTGCTTGGTGAAAAAGTTGATATATTACCAAGTTTGTTATTACCACTGGCTGGTAGTGAAGAATTTGACGAAGAAGATAATGATAAACTGCCTTTAGAATTACAGTATTTGCCAGATGATAAGGTTCGAGAAGAAGATCCTGATATTAGGTACATATAAACACTATATTCTTCATATATTTATTTTGTTTTTCTGTCGTTAGGTATATTTGGGAAGTAAAATTTGAATACATATTTCATCATTGTATGAATATTAATATTCTGGTAACCTTATGGCCAAATGATTTGATGGCGATGAGTTCATTCATAGATGGTGCTGGCATAGTGAACCTCATTACACAAGTAGAATATGGAATACAGAATATCACTTTTTTCTGCTTCCTGTGAGCAGTCGACTTGTCTATTTCTTCCAGGTCTCTGGAAAACAATGCAACCTCAAGGGCTTATTGCCTTATTCCCCCATCTTTTTCATGACACCCATTCCAACCATCTTGTTTCCTATAATTGTCTATATAGGTATCTTACGTACGTATGTCACATTCTTCTGGATACAATATGGGTTGTACATATATTGTTTACCTCTTGTGATCCTAAGCTTCATATTCACATAAAATATTAGGTCCCTTTATTGCATTGCCTGCAGATAAGGTATCTGTTGTACTGCTCTATTTTGATAAGGTGCCCCCTTTCTCAGTATCCAATGAGTAGCCCTGTTATTATTATGAGCTGATCTCTACTTTGTTGAAGCATTTCGTCAGTAATTTTTTAGACAGCCCCTAATTTTACCTTGTTTGTTTTTTGGTACTCTTCAAGTTTCTCATATAGACCTATTTCTCAATCTAGTTGCCTACCAATATATGAAGCTGAGGATCGTCATCACCCTGGCACCCTCATCAGATTTTTGGTTGCCCATGATAACCGAGTAACCTGGTACTTGGTATATAATCAATCTACTCCTTTTCGCCAGTTTTCTCAGTTCCTCAGGCATTCCCGGACTATTCTCGTCACTTTTTAGTGCAGTCAGGCTGTCTGCGAAAATATTGATCTGCTCATTTTGTTGAGGCTTTGAATCAATATTTTGTGCGCAAGGCAAGATTGCATACATTTCAGCCTGACTACTGACCAAGCGGGTAACTGAAATAAGATTTCACAGTATATTCCAGATCCCGACCCGACGGTTTTTGATCCGTCTGTATTCCAGGCGTTTCTGCGGAGCATGTTTTCGGTATGACTTAATTGTCCACTCTTCGCATTCTAAGACTTCAACCTCGTAGGTTGTGTTGAACATGTGGTCCAAGAACATGTTAGATGTTCATTTCTCCACATATCCTCAAATTTGTTTTGCCCTAACACATGTAGGTTGGCGAATTTTCTACAAGCAGGGAGAAAAGACTTGTATGTTTGGGAATAACAGGAGCAATGAAAATCACTTCAATGGCATCAAGGAAATCTTCCTCTTTCACATCTTGTAATAATGGGTGCTGCAATTTTTGTAATAGAAGTATTAGATCTGCTTCTAAGTATTAGATGAAACGGTAGAAGTGAAACAGTGTCTCAGTCAGATGTTTAGGGTGTGACAGTTCGAGATTGGTAAGATTATTGGCCACCAAGATCACCGGACCTATCTCCTATGGACTTTTTTCCATGGGGTTATCCGAAACAAAAAGTATATAAGCACAGACCATTTGCAAACAAAGAACATTTAGAGAATACCATTTGGGAGTGTTATCCTAACATAAGTCCCACATTTATTAAAAATGCCACAAAGTTTGTGAGTGAAAGGTCTATAATTTGTATAGAACGGGAAGGACAGCATACTGAATGATTAATTCAGGTTCTTCATTGAGATAAATCAATGAATGTTGTTTTGTTGTGAATTTGGTTAAAGTTATTTTGGTTTAATGTTATTCGCCCATCTAATGGAGAAAATGAAGAATATAAGATTTATGAAACTTACTCAAGAAGCATTATTTGCTTGATAATTACATCTAACAATTTACGTCGAATAGTCACACTGTTGGGCGCAAACTGTTTCAAAATATTTCAAACTCATCTGCAGCTAATGGGATACAAGTCTGCTAAAAAAGGAATACAAGTGTAATAAGAATGAAGAGAAATACGTGTATTTGATTACTGACATAATAACGTCCATAAATTGAAATTCCGAATCAGTTTTACAATGAAATGAAAAAACTACATGAACTTTGCAACAACAAAGATGAATTTCTGGTGGTGTATTTATTTCTTTTTTGGTAACAGGCCGCTGCGGGTATTATCTGGGCAACATATGACATCGAGGTCTCCTATATTCATCAAAATTATAAAATTTGTATTATGTCTCGTTCGAATCGATAGAGCGAAAGATTCGAAAAATAAAAAAAATGGAAAAAAATCGAAGTGACAGTAGAGAGTCCAAATTTCGAATAAGGGTATAAAATTGGAAACTGAGCAACTCTTTTCTTTTGCGTTTTTCGAAATTTACAAAAAAACTGATTTGACAGGTTCAGAGTAGCACGTGACAAAAGTAGAGGGCTGTTTTTTACTCATTTTTCAAGCACAAACTGAGAAGTAAAATTTTCATTATATCTATTAGTAAAAAAACTTCCATATGTCACGAACTTTATGTGTGACACTGTATATGGACCCCTTAGTTTTTTTTCTATAAAAGTTGAATTTTCAATTTCCTTTTAAGAAAATTTTCAAAAAGAGGGATCTAGGCAAAAATCAATGCGTTCAATAGATGAGTGTGAGAAGTTGTAAGGATGACCTGTGGTCAACCGTTTTTCGGATTATTATTTTTACTTATTTCATTTTTCTTCCGCTCATAGGTAGGTACAAATTACACATAAAAAAAAAGTATTGCCACTGAAATTCTCGATCAAATCAAAAATTGATAGTAAATGGAAACTTGCAATCAGGGTTTTCTGATACATCGATAACAATATTGTTTGTGCAAGTATTCTTAGTAAAAATGCAAAAAAAAGTTTGGGAGAAAAAAGTTAACGTTGCTGACCGTCAAAATTTGGATATTTTTTTATCTTTATTGTGGGGCCCCTCTCCTGTGAAGGCCCCGGAGCAGTAGCCTCTAAATCCGGCTGTTTATTATTGAATCTGCCAAATTTATTGAAATATGTCAACACATATTTGGCCTTTCATCTATTTATAAATCAAATATTGACTGCCCATTGAAATTTTATTCCAACTATAATTATTTTTTATTTCAGATGTATTCTACTAGAGGCTATAACACAACTGGTAACTAAACGGGTTAATAGAGAATATATTAGGGACAAAAACACTTATGTCATATTGAGAGAACTACATAAGTGGGAAAAAGATAGGAAAGCTCTCGCCGCTTGTGAGAATCTAGTTGATATACTGATAAGGTAAGCTTAAAACATTTTTAGTTAGCAAATATTAATTTTTTTCATTTCATATTCTAGAACAGAGGAGGAAATTGGCGAGGATAACTTAAAAACTGTTGAAGTGCCTTTGGATATTCAAGAAAAATTCCAAAAAATGGGTGAAGAACCATTGGAAGATGAATAGACTTAATTTTTTGTACAAATATATATTTTTATCAAATTATTTTCTTTTCACAATTTTGAAACCTATTTTCCACATACGAACAATTTCAATGGGGCTAGTTTTATGTTGAAGTATTATTTTATGCATAAATGAACAATGTTAATTGAAAAAATTTACAAGAAATTATCTTATTGAATTTGAGAAACTTTCAGCTTCTGGAAATGGTTTGGATTCATGTTGAATTAATATATTCACACAGCAATATGCACACGAGTATCTTTAAAATAATTTAATATCTGATATTTTTATAGAGATGCACAAGCACTATCGAAAAATCCTGAAAATGCTCAGAGAGAGGGTAACTGTTCAAATGAGATGATTTATGTTGATTTTGGTTAATAATGGAAAGTATAGTTCAAGTATTAGGTTGAACCTTGATGCGATGAGCAGCTGTATTTTGCTGTGTACTTCTCACATAACATATTGTTCTGGGTGGGATCCAGCAGTTGAATACTTCCGTGAAACTATTCACAGAAAAGAAGTCCCAACTTTTCTTCAATACTCGAAACTATCAAAGTTACTTATAATGTTTCAGTCTCCTGTAAGGTGAATGCCTCTTTTCTGGACACCTCTGTAGGTAATAACAGAGGTACTTAATTGAGTACCTGAATTTTGTTTGAAAAATGGTGAGTAAACTAGATCAGTTTTCAAATTAGTGTACCCACATTGTCACAAGTAAACAAAATTCAGGTACTCAATGAGGTACCTGTGTTATCACCTACAGTGAGTGGTGTTATATAATAATGTAATCAATCATTTTTAGTTTAATGTATCAGTTTGAAAATGTCCTTATTGGACGAAACTGCAGTGACGTTAGTTATGAATGAAAGTGGTAAAAACATTGAAAGTTTCATTTCTCATGGTGATTTCCTACCACGTATTAACAGCTACATCCATCAATTTATAATTTATCATCTTTGTTCTAAACTGTCCAGCTTTCTCAAAGAACATTCTTCACAAGTAGTTATAGATGGTTCTCTCTTGGAAATCTCTTACATCTATTGGAAAATACTGGTACAGATCCAAAATTTTGGTTCACCAACTTCACACCTTTCCATTTGGATGTTCGAACCTTAGCTGCTTAGGCCTATCTTCAGCATAAGCTTTATTGAAAATCTTTAAAAAAAATCCTTGGGGTGACAGAATCCAAGTATACTTTAGGGCCCCGAAACAAATGTAGTGAGTGGACATAAAAAGTCTTGACAAAAACGTGAATCACTATTTCAAACTAGATAGTTATACTCACCTCAGCAACGTTTTTTAATGCTTCCTAAAGCTCAAATGAGACCTTTGGAATATTGCTCCCATGGAAGAATAACTATGCTAAACTCCGCCAAGTAAATAAAGACCCTTCAGATATTATATTATATAGAACTCGGTTCCTATAATCATTCCTAGAACATCGAAGGAAGGTTGGAGACTTGTCTGTTTTCTGAAGATACTTTTAACGGGAAATATATGACTCATTTAGCTCGCCTGATTTCACGCAGAGACAGAAGTATGTGGCAAGATACTGCTGCCCAATATATTAAATTTCAATCAAATACACCTCAAACTACACTTTTCAACAAATCTTTCATTTGGAGAAGTGTTTTCTTGGAACAAACTTCCCGAAATGATTTTTCCAAATGAATTTAATCAGAGATTTAAGTACAATTCAAATCAGTAGCGCCCCATGGAGTCTCCTGCAGTGCTAGTATATCTCCATAAAAAAATGTTCTAGTTTTAGTAGAATAGAATAATTATCTGTCGATGTTGACCAGTTTATTTAGTTCATTCAACATTCATGACAAAAAATATCTATTTCTCTCAGTTTAAAAAAAGATGAAATAGTTGAAGCGTTTACAGAATTTTATAGCAAATAAATGCATTAGATTCAATTTAACCAATTAATCGGTGCTTATATTTCACATAAATCCTAAACTTTGGAATTTCAAAAAAAGTTTTTTCAGTTCAAATTATCGTTTCCATTTTCTGGAAATAATATCAACATATTTCACTTATTCAAATAACACTTTAATGTGAGATTTTCACTGGACAATTTACAAAATTGAAGCAGTTTTGTGAAGTGTTACTTGAATGAGAATTGGACTTTTATCAGGTTTGGGCCAGTTCCATCACATACATTTATCACACGCACACCAAGCTCAATTGATCAATATGTGTGCAGTTCCATAATTTGAAAAATTCTGCCTTCAAGCAAACGCTTTCAAATAATATTCTAAGACAAAATATCTCGATCTACTTCTCAGGATTTTATCAAATTATTAGACTGTAGTCATGTGCTTAGCAATATTTAGTTATAATTATGGATTTGAGTAAACGTTTTAGCCGATTAAACTTGGGGCACTCTAGTATTAGAAGCACAAATCAATAATTACAAAAAAGGTCATGGTTGCTCTTGAATTTCATAGAGACTGTTTGATAATCTATCATGTAACCTGTCATTGCACAAATAGGGATATAATTGAATATGACTAATCACAAAATAAAGTTTTGTGCTCCAGAGCATAAAATAAATACGGCAAACCTCAATCGATATGTGCAAGCACAAAAGCTTTCCTTATAGGGCCATAAATAAAATTGAGATAAATAACCAGTTCATGTTCAAGTGTGTGGACTCTAAAACATAATTTATAGGGAAAAATAAACAATGAAATGTTTTCCGAAAGTGTCAATATGTCCTGCATTTTTATTCATCTTACTGAGTAAAAACTTACAAAAATATATCCTAGGTCCTACCCCTTCGTGGAGAAATTGAAACAATAGGAACTGAATCAATCAGATTGATCAAGCGTCGTAAATAAATATTCAAATGAAATGAACTGAATACAAAATGCAAGAATAACAATTAAAAAAGTAATAAATATACAACTAGGTACCAATTAACTTTACGGAGAATATTGAGTATATACTATTAATTCTTTTCTTTCCTGTCGGGAATTATAGGTTTTACTGTAAGATCAACATCTTTAAAATAAGGATGAGTGGCAACTCTTTTGGCAGATATCCTCTTGGAAGGATCATATACCAACATCTCTTGGAGTAACTTTATTCCATCTTCACTGAGGTTTTTCAGTTGACTAGAAAGATTGTAGTTGGTCCAATGGGGAAAAGTAGCTTTATAATCTGGGAGAGATGATACACCTGGCCACAGTTCTTCGTTGGGAGTCTTCAAAACCCTAGAATATATTTTTAATTTTTATAAATGATGTATCGAGACTATCATCATCAGTAGTTATCATTGGGATCTTGTAAACATAGCCATGCACTCTTCTGGATATGCCATTTTTGAAAATAACAGATTTCAAATGAATATTTTGATATTTTTAGAATCATGTTTCGAAACTTTATTAAACATTTCTGCACGGATCTTGAAAATCCTATTATTGCCATCTATTAACACAGTTGAAACTTGGTTTTCCTTTCATCTTTGTCTTTGTTCCGATCATGATTTGCATTGGGATGAAGTTTTTTTTATACTTGAGGAGTTTTGTACATGTACTAGAACATCTGACCTATTAACGTGGGTATGCCTCAAGGTATCATCGTAGAATCTTTACTGTATTTACTCTAAGTTATTAATGAATTTATCTGAAACAATTTTTTAATTTCCTGATGACACATCTTAGATAGTGTCAGCATAAAATACTGATAATCTATCAATGAAGGTGTGAAAAAGGGTAAAAACAGAGTCAGTGCAAATCTGTAAACGATTTGAGAAAGAAAAAAGTATGTAATAATCAGTCATAAATAGATTCGTGTAGAAAACAGATTTTAATCACACAGATGATGTGGTGCTGAAGGTTTTTCCGGGTTTTCCTGCAGCTGAAAAAGCAAATTTGCCACTGGAATCAATGAAGTCGCCCCGGAGCGCCAATTAATTTTTGTTGTTTCATAATTTTATGATTTGTATTACTTTCTCGATGAGTATAGTTTAGAATATATTTCTCAATAAATTAATCAAATTATTCTTTGTAGTGCCCAAAGAGGATGCAAGTTCAGTCATTGGACATTACTATTAGGGCTTTTCTAGAACAGAATCATCATTTGATATATTGCTCTTTTCCTTCATCTTGTTTCCTGTACTTGTTTATACAGGTACTTCGTTGGATGTTTGCTATATTCTTGTGTATGTTATTTTGTGTTGTTCATAAATTGTTTATCTTCTGTGATACAATGCCTTTCAGTCACATCAAACATGACATAAATAAAAAGATTACATAATTGAATTCCAAATTACATATTTTGAAACATCAGTGGTGTATAGTCTTAAGATGTGATATGAAAAATACAAAGTTTATAAAAGTATGAACGAATATAACAATTGGCAATTGATGAATAGGTTCACAATACTCATTTCAATAAATAATGATAGAAACCCACAAACAAGCTAAAAGCACCATCCATAATATAGTATAGTTTTAAATTCATCAGCTAGATAGCAAGATACGAACTGGTTTCATAAAGATGTTTAATTAATTTGAAAGATCCCAGAGATAATTGACAATACTCACTATACAAACAAATATTGTTACCTGAATATTCTGAATAGCTGGTCAATTTCAGAATCTCCTTGAAATAAAGCTCTTTTGGTTGACATTTCTGCAAAAATACAACCCATTGACCAAATGTCGATAGGACATGAATATCTAGCAGATCCTAGAAGAACTTCTGGAGCTCTGTACCACAGTGTGACGACTTCATGGGTATATACTCTCACTGGGACTCCAAATGCCCGACCCAAACCAAAATCAGCAACCTGGAAATTTAGAATATTTCATTGAAACCTTTGTCATATTTCTGACGTGTACATAAATGAGTTTGAAAGATAATTTCTCCTAACTTATAATAATTTATCTAGTAAAGGAAAAATTCAGAATTATCAATAAAATATAAAAGTTTCAATACCTTGATCACACCATCCGCAGTGATGAGTAAGTTTTGTGGTTTCAAGTCTCTGTGGAGCACTCTTCTTTGATGACAGAATAATATAGCTTCATTTATTTGATATAGGTAACTTTTAACAAGTTTTGGATCCATGAACTTTCCAGTTTCAATCTTATCCAAATATTTCCTGAGATCCATTGATAAAAACTCAAAAATAAGATACAACCTTTGTTCTTCCATCATAACATCTTCAAGTGAAACAACATTAGGGTGGCGCAATTCTTTCAGTAATGAAATTTCCCTGATTGCAGTTGAAGGAACACCTTCCTCTTCTAATTCTAATCTGCAAGCAAATTAGTCCTTACTTATTGCATTGTTCTCAAAATATATATTATCGATGCACAAAATGTAAAATGTGGTAATATAAGTGTGTTATATATTATAATTTTTGTAGATTTTGTAAGTGTTGGCGAAATCCTTCCTAGAAAGCTAACATTTCTTTGAATGTTAAGCCTCTATCAATTAAGACTCCAAGATATTTCGTCGCACTAACGCTTTCTATTTCTATATTATCAATATGGATATTTAAATGTCTGCTTTCAAGTTCATGATATCCCGTTTTATTAGTAAATAACATGAATTTTGTTAGCAAAAGCGTCAGTGACAGAATAATTCGAAATTGGAGTTTCATCACAAATTGAAAATATAATATCAAATGCTTAGTACACAATTTCACGAAAGTTTCTGTAAAGAAGCTTCGATCTTAGAGACAAATATTCTTTCGAAAGTTTCAACAATTCAGAATACATTATTTAAAATTCAAGTAACACATTATTGTGGGCTTTTCACCAGTTTACAAAAATGCAACATGTGTTTCGTTACACAATAGCTACTCGTATTGTAGTTTTGAGAACTTAATGATGAAAATCTACATAAAGTGTTACTTGAATACATTATGGATTTTCATAAGTATCGGCCAATTCCATCAATACCCTTAAAAAGTTTGGAATTCAGTAGCCTTTATAACTCTCAGTTGAAGGATCATTCTCCCCAAAAATTCTGAAAATTTCATCAAGAATTCATGTTGCTGAAGGTCGCATTTTACAATAATTTATTGATTTTCGGAAAAGTAGATTTTTTGTAGTTAGATTTAGTAGGATCTAACATCTATATAACTATCAGATACATCATATTCTCAACTTCCCCTGTGAGTTTATACAAAAAGCTCTGTAGTGCAAAGTCGTAAGAACATATTTTATTCAAATTTATCCATTTCTTCGAAATTCAGTTTTTTTACATCAGGAAAATGACGTTGGATTAAGTAGTTGAAAAATTATTTTCCAGTAGCTTCCCAAATTTTTATGAAAAACATAAGCAACATAAATTTTCATGAAAAATTTAATTTGCTTATGGCATTCTACCTGAATATTATGCAAGAGTGAACAACAGTGAGACATTTCAATTTATCAAAAAAATATATGTATATATGTTTATGATATGTTTTTTTCGTTAACTAGTTATCACACCCCTACGAACGACAACCCTCAGACGTCGAAACGTGTGCGAGCTAAGGACTAACGAGGTCTTAGCTTTCAACGTGTGATTCCTAACACGGGCAAATGACAAAAAAAAATTAGATTGATGAAATTTGTTATATGGTTATAAAATTGTAAAAGAAACAACTTCTTCAGATGACTTTTTTTGAAATACTGTGGAGTAATGACAGATGTAATTTCTTTGGAAAAATGTAATTCTATTACTAAACGAAATTTCCATGGCGACACTGTATATGTTGTGGGAAAGATTTTCTGGACTTGAAAACACTAGAATCGGAGTTCAATAGTGGAGAATCAAATGGAAAAATGAAGGGGAAAGTAACAAACTAAGCTGTGCATTAGAAGGTATTACTGAATGGAATCCTCATATACATATTTCCTGACTGCATTCCCTGTTAAAAATTTTGTTCCCATTGCCTGTCACTATTTGTACAGCAGAACGATCTTTTTTAACTATTTAGAGATTGAAAATTCATTCAAGACACTCCACCCGAGAAAACAGACTGATTAATGGTGTTTTGGCTTTAATGACATTTCACAGAACATACATTTGATGTTCCTGAAATTGTAATATCATTATTTTCGGCGTATTGATTGACCTCGTTGATTCTGTGGTTGTGAAACTTTTGAATATTGACATTCATAAAGTATGACAACTGTCTAATGAAATCCATTTTTTTACTCGAGTTCTGTGGTGGCCGTGGTAGTAGACAGACGTACTGATAACGTCTCTCCACAAAGAAGGTACGTGAATGCCATGTGCTAACGTGGAAGTGAAGTCAGGGGCCCCTTTTTGGGGACCCAGAGGAAGCGACTATATAATAAATGACGTGTTTTATAAAAAAAAAACGAAAAACGAAAGTATGAAAAAAAACTCAGGGTGGCAGCATTGCTTCAAGCAAGACCGTTAAACTCTCTAACAAAGCTCCTGTCAATTATTGATAAGAGCAGCTTGGTAGAATTCGGTCAAGTGGTAAGCAACCGCCATTAAACAATATAAATATATAGAGAGATATTTTTCAACTCCTGGTCATATTTCATTGTATTTCTTTACTATCATTAATTTTAATTGGCAGTGATGTAAAGCTGACAGCAATATTTATACTTTTAATAAACAATAAAGAGGAAGATTAAACTGTTCAATCTTCCTCTTGAAAATGATCACTTGGTGATTGAAACATGTGTTGAGGTGTACAAATAAATGGTTTGGTGTTGAGATTAAACTCCAGTAATATTAATTTTTTTCACTGGCTGTTGACGAGAGTTCTGATACTGATGATACAGGTCAACTTTCTGTTCTTATAGAAGGTATTAACTGCAATAAGTGCATTCCATTGACAGGTACTACGATAGCAAATGATATTTATTCTGCAATTGATCATTTGATAGTAGAATATGAACTTGACTTTAGTAAACTTAGCAGCACAACTACGTATTGCACCCCTGCCATGGCTGGCAAACATTCGGGAGTAGTAACTAAATTAAAACATGAAACATTAGGAAATTTTGTGGAGTAATTACCAAATTTCACTGATTCACTGGAATTCATCAGGAATCATTGGCATCCAAATATTAAAAATGGACCATGTCATGCAACCGACAGCTCAGGCAGTTTTTACAAGATTAGGACGAAAAGTTTTCTGATGTCCCTTATTTCACCAAAGTTCGTTGGCTCAGTCGGAGAAGTAGTTTTAGAAAGATTTTTTGAATTACATGACCTTATTCAAGCTTTCATGTTAGAAAAAGGCAACCCAATTGATAACTGGTGGGTTGATTGTGCCTTTCTAGTAGATATGAGTAAACAGTTGACTAATCTGAACATCTCTAAACAATTACAACAAATATGATACCTGACATCAATGAGCTTGTAAAAAACTCAAGAAGTCAGGTATCTGGATCCTGGAGCTCAAAATAATTACCCTCTTTTATAACTTTGCATTGATTTTCAACAACCGTATATAATGTACAAGATAAGTAATTAAATAATATGTTATAAATCCTGACATTTTTTTATTTGAATCAGGCCCAACTACATAATCTGATTTTAATATATGGCCCTCTGCAAAATTGAGTTTGACACCTCTGCTCTAGATGTAAGAAAAAATGAATATCCTGAAGATACAAAGAAAATGCAAACAGGATTAGGGATAGCAGAGTATATTTTAAAATAAACTGGTGATCACTCAAACCAAGATGAAGAGAAACAAAAATTTTCAGCAAGAAATTTTATACAAAAACGAGAAAACTGAAAGAACATGCAATATTATTTTAATCAGATAACAAATGCAAGCGTAGCAAGTGTATTTCAACCAACTCTATGGAAATTGATCTTACCTAGATACCATTTCTGGGGAGACAGGTTGAAAACCAGGATATGATACTAAGCTGAATTCTTGGAATACACAAAATATATATTCACATAAACTATCAAATATGACATCTGGACAAATAATTCTTTTGACCTTGGCCAAAGGAAATATACCCTTTTCCATTAAAGGTGTTTTCAGAAGTAAACATTTATGGTTTGGAGAACGGAAAGGAATTACTTTCCAAAACGTAGATCGCCTAAAGATAGCTATATACATAAACTTCATTGTTTGCATTGATTATTTAATTTGTAGTCAAATTTTATGAATATGAAGAGTTACTGACTAATTGGACTGTGCAGTAGTTTATTTGGAACAGTAACTTTTCGGAGAGGAATTTCAACTCTTCTATTCATCACACTTCATCAGATTTTTTTATTGATTTGTTTCCTTTTTATATCATGGATGGATTACTCAGAAACAGGATGAAATAGTGTTCAAAGAATTTCTTGTGCGAGTTAATGGCTAGTTATTGTCAAAGTTTTGATAAAAAAAGGTATAACTATGAATGGGCCATTTACTAATCTAATTGCAACCAAGAATTTGAAACAAAATGTGGTTTCCTTACTAACCTGATTTTTTTCATTGCAACCAATTCGCCGGTTTTCTTGTTTTGTCCTTTATATACCACTCCATAAGTACCTTCACCTATCTTTTCTATCTTCACAAAATCGTCAATATTAACGGTTCCCTTGCTGTTAGACATAGTTTACCTGAAATCTGAAAACACCATCTTTTACATCAATAAGCATTATTCCAAACCATCCATCAAAAATGTATTTCCTCACAACAAATGGTTATATAATTAATATTCCTAAATTTATTAGATATACACAGATACTTACAAAAACGCTATAAGTAAATAAAATAAAAAAACAGCTACAGCTAAAACTAACAAACCAACGTATTTCAGCAAATTCAAAAATGAATTAGACTTTTGACGTTGACAAAAGATAATGCCGCCTTTCCGATGCTAAAACGCCTGTCAAAGAGTGCATATTTTTGTTAGAAATTAGCACGAGGTTAAATTGAAAACTTGTGCAAAACTAAAATATTACAAAAGCAAAGAAGGGCGACAAAAATCGATATTATTTTTCCACAATTCACACGTACAACTGAGAATTCACAATTATAACTGAAATCAACCGGAAAATGGTTCCAAAAGTTGCACATTTAAATTAGGTTTTTAGTCAAATGAGTGGGCAGGGATTTTGATAATTTGATGTCATTCATATTGCTCTGAAATATTCATTTGAAGGTGTATTGAGGTCTTCATCAGATATAATTGCTTTGAGGTTTCTTCGAATACTTTGTCAATGACATACAAACTCTGTCGTTCCATTGGCCGTCAATTTGAACGCAACTGGACTAAATGTTTCTGCGATTTTACGTTCCGGCCGTTCTGCGTTTATTGTCACGTTTTGTGGCTGAGTTTTTGGGCGGTGTGAGGTTAAAAATTACATTTTCACGTTTTTCGACTTTTCACTTTTAATAATTAGTAATAATGGCTATAAGTTTGTTGAATCCTAAAGCCGAAGTAGCCAGAGCTGCACAAGCACTGGCTGTCAATATTTCTGCTGCTAAAGGAATCCAGGATGTAATGAAAACCAATTTGGGCCCCAAGGGAACTGTAAAAATGTAAGAACACATGATTATATATTTATGGATTTCACCGTTTTTAGATAGAATTTTACTATTGTTAGTATTAGTTTTGACTATTTTCTAAGAAAAAGTAAGTAAAAGTTGAAGAAAAAATTACAAATGAAAATTTGAATGGAAATCAAATGAAGACAAAGAAAAAAATATTAATTGTATTCCCCATTGTATGTGTTGAATTTTGTTCTCCTAAATATTATTAATTTTTGGTTTATTCTCTTTAAACATTGGCTGTGTACAAATCGAGAAAGAATAGGTTATTATAAAATTTGTCCAAATAAGGGCTAGCTTGGGAATATCATGAACCATAAATGATTTTAAAGAAAACGTCATTTTAGAGCACTCCATCTTGTACAGCTTGAAAAGTGGCAATGAGACAGTGTTTTCATAATGTTTTTATAAAATATTGGTAATTTGTTTATATAATGTCAAAAAAAGTTGAATATTCTTCAAATATATCTGGAACTAATTGTCTCTAAAACGGGTAACTTTTTCATTTTTCAACCAACTTTATATCTCAGACAATTTTCAAATTTCCCATATTTGCCCTCCTTATCTAGGATACAAAGTATAATTTGATATTACTTACTTTCGGAAATGTGTTGTTTCGATTTGGCTCTTTCATTTGCTTTGTATCTGAATGAAACATATCTGGGATAATCTACACATTTCCCTAAAAAAGTTTTGTTCAATTTGTTAAAGAAGTTTTTTCTAACTTGAAGAACCTAATACAAAACATATATCAAATAACTAGTTATTGCCGGTGTCTTTGATCAAGTAGTTTTCAGTTTTTTCCCAGGTTTTCTTTTGTAAGAGAACCGTTTCAACAAACTATAAATATAGTTGAAGAAAGTTGGACAGTATTTTTATACATTTTTTTCTAACAAATGTTCGATGTCGTTCAATAAATTGGCATTACTTTTTTATTTATAAAGTGATTGAAATGAATGAACCATTAAATATTAAGTGAAGATCCCAACAATAAAATAATGAAAAATGCTGACAAATTGATTAAACAAATAGTCAAATGGAAGAATTCCGCATAAAATTACATTTTTAATAATATGTTGCCTTCTAAGGATGATGGTCACCAAGATATGGGGGAGGAGGTATGACAGTTGAGGTTATGATAGAAAGATGTCCCTGATGAATTGAAAATCGTATTTTTTCAACAAATAGTTCTTCTAAATATTCGATCTGTTTCATTTTCGATGTTGCACATATAACATGTATTATGATAAAACACCTTGTATCATGATATAATTATGTGTGAGAAACTTACAAAGAAATAAAAAACACCTAAGTCAAAATTAAACCCTCTAAAATGATGTGTATAGAAATGGGGAAGTAGAAAACCAAAAAGCTTAAGTTTCAACACCCATTTTCCATAAGAGTTAATTCCAATATTCATTAAATGAAGGATTCAAAAAACTGAAAAAACAAATTGTCAAAAAAATTAAATTGTGATACATTTCGATATTAATAATATTATATAGTATGGTAAGGCGAGATGTGATCTAGTAATTAATGAGATATTCAATTACAGTAATTTACAATATGACATGTAATTCAAATGGAAAAAGCGTGTTAAAACATGGCGTTGAAGATACACAAGATTCGTTCACTTACCATTCATGCACTGTCTGTCATTCTCATGGATTTCTGGATAGAATTTGATAAAACATTCACGTTTTGCGATTAATATCATGATAAAACATATATTTGTTTATTTATATACTTGTAGTGGGGATGCAATTATGAAGGTACCAAAATCAGTTTTCAAAGTTTTTTTGCAAACATATCAAAAGTTTGTTATTGGAGAAAATGGAGGTGGGTGGGAAGGGGGGTTTTTAATTTTGTATTTTAATATTTTGGCTTATATTGGGTATTATGTATTGTATATTTTGAATATTTGTATATTTCGTAACCCTAATTGCCTTGGGGTAGTGCAATGAAATTGCAGGGGTGAAAAATTGAAATTCTGAAGTAAGTGATAATTGAATAATAGAATCTTGTACCTGAAGAAGACATAACAAATAATGACAGCCATCTGAATCTTATCAATATTGTTTTCCAGAAAAAGGTTTGGTAGGCAGGTCATTTGTCCGAAGTTCTGACACACCCAAAGGGCGCAGTATAATCATTTGCCAATGACCACACACCACGTGGTGGGATGAGTGATCATTGGGTTCATGAACCTTTTTTTTATATTTGTTTTGAACTTATAACCTGATTACATTTACAGTATATTTTTCGGCTTTTAAGATCTTTCACAGCCTTAAGGTTTCGGTCTTGATAAACATTTTTGTTGGTAACATTATTCTTTCACGTTTGTTCTCACATTTATCATCAAATAAATACGAAACAATTACTTTTCTCAATCACCAGAAATGCAATACTCTTCTGGTTAGTGAAAACTAACCAAAATGGCGTTTTTAGCAGACGAGAAAAAAACTGGTTGGTAAAACATGCATTAAGAAGAGTATTGCACTTCTGGTGATTTATTGAATGAATGAATAAATTACTGAGGAAGCCTTTTAATTTTTGTACCGGTTTTTTCTGTGCCCAATTTACCAATTCAAACTGTGAATTAAGTCATTTTCAGTGCAAATCACCACTCTACACTTTGTGGTATTTGTTAGGTTAGACACAAATAATCATATTGTGATCTTGACAACTCGGTCACTTGTATGTTCCGAATGTCAAAATTTTATTGTGCATTAATTGACAATTATGCATAATAGAAATGCTTCAGTACGGAAAATTTTGTTTTCAATTGAAGTGAGGGAATAATCTCGATGTGCATATTTGTTTTTACTTTTTAGTATGTTTTTATGTTTTTTACTTACTTGTATTTCAAATGGATAATTGAGTAAATAAATAAATGGTTACAATTTCATTTTCTGATCTTATTTTTTCCTTTATTTAATATCAGGTTTAATACGAAGTATTATTTATTTATTGCACAAGATAACCCCTTTTGTAATAGTACAAGCATCAAATATAATAAAACTAACGTTACTGCAGTTTCGTCCAAAAGGACATTTTCAAACTGTAACTAAAGTTACTGCAGTTTGAAAATGTCCTTATAGGACGAAACTGCAGTAACGTTACTAACAAATAAAAGTGGTAAAAAACAGAAAGTTTCAAGTGTCTTATACATTAATGTATAAGTTTGAAAATAAATATTATTTTAACAAGCTATATAGCATGCTATTTGGTATTGGTTCGTCATGGTTATTCATAATATTATTGTTTACTTATTTCTACACTCTCATAGGCATCTAGTTGCCTGTTGTTGTTAACTTGACCAACTAATCTTAATGAACTGAAGTCTATGGAATGGTTTTGTTGCAAAATATGATGGTCAACTGCTGATTTTTCAGGTCTTCCATATTTTAAGTGTGTAAGATGTATATCTTACATCTTACTTTAATAAATATTTTTGTCTGTCCATAATATTTTGCATCGCAGTCCTTACATTCATTTGCGTAAATTCCAGACTTTTCCGAATTCTCGACTTTGTCTTTTGGACTTCCCAAAAGGCTTTGTAGTGTATGACTTGTTTTAAAAACCACCTTCATACCTAGTTCCATGAAAATCTTTGCAAAGTTCTTCATGTAATGGTGTCTTCGTGTATTGGTGGTATGGAACTGAGATGTATTTATCTTGGTTTTTGTCCTTTCTGAAAGTCGAGACTTCGTTCATTCTTGACCTAAACTTCTTCTTCCTTATTGTGTCATCTACAATACCCCTTGAGAAACCGTTAGTGGCTGTTATTTCGTGTATTGTGCATTTTTCTTTTGTGAACCTAGCCCATGTGTTAGAGGGAAAGTCAAAAGACGGACTAAAAAATTTAACCCAGCATGTTTGTGCTGTCCACAGTGATGTGAACTGTCAGGAATATACCTGTAGGTGCTTGTTTCTTTTTTAAATATATCGTATTCTAACCCCCCATATTGGCTCCTCATTACCAAAACGTCAAGAAATGGTAGTTGTCCCTTATTTTCTAACTCATACGTGAATTTTATTGATGGGCATCTATTATTTAAAAAGGAAACAAAAGACCTCAATATTCGATTTTTTTGTATCGAATATCGCGAAAATATCATCCATATACCTTAGCCAAATCCTAGGATTTGGCTATCCACATACTTTAGCTGGCTAGCATCAAAGCTACCTGTCTTTTTTATATCATGTCTCAATTGATTAGTTCCAGATCAGTCTCGGATCTATTAGTCTACTTTGTTGCCTCATCCTCATTCCACCAGGAAATACTTCTGTTTGATCTGTGGCTGACTGGGGGACAAAGTTTATAAAACGTAGATGTTTCCTGTAATTGGTCTGTTGCCAACTGTTGTCTATAAAATGCTTCATTTCAAAACCTGTCCGATCTAACAAAATTCCAGGTCTGACTTATTGCAACACATTGTTTTCCAGGGTTTTTGATGAGATATGACGATTCGACAACTTTTCACATCAGATTCATTCCATTTACCAACACTTACTGATACATGTAGAAATTAATGTTATTGTCCTCCTTACGTCTCATGTTCATGAAGGCAGGTTTATTCTCAACTTTTAAGTTGTTTTCCATTATAAACTGTAGTACAGTACACAGATAGAATCATGGCTGGTTATAAGTACCAAGCCCTGATTGCAGACAAAGTTCGTACTATTTAGAACCCTTGATTGCTTTATTGCATTCCATTACTTGGGTTCAAGGGACAACTATATCAGATAGCGCAGTATTACGATAGTGATGGAGTTCAAAAGTAAACTACATATAAATAGACCCTTGGTTTACACAGCATGCCGATCTCTGAATGCCATGTCTCATTTCGTGTACTGTAAATGCTCACCTCTTGCATTGGTTCAGTTCTTTCCCAGGTCGGTGGTTCAAGCTGCAGGCTGAACGATCGATTTTCACTTGCTATCGTACAACCTGTGTTAGGAACCACACGTTAAAATGTAAGACCTCGTTAGTCCTTATCTCGCACAAGTTTCGACTTCTGAGGGTAGGTAGGTAGGTCTAAAATGAGTGGATCAATTCGACCCTCCACCGCAACCCATAAGGGTTTATTGTGGCTCACACCTATTCACACTCGGCCAAATAAATCCAGCTTCTTAACGAAGCCGATTAGTTTGTATGGTGATTGGTCTTTCAGGTCAGATGGTGAGAGTACGGATCTGCCGAACTCAAAGAACCTGATTCGTTCCCCAGCGGGGCAGGCACAAAGTATATGCTCTGCAGTTTCATCATTTTCCAGACAGAGGCGACACACACTGTCTTCCGACAGTAAAAGTCTCTGCATGTGATGATTCAAATGACGGTGACCTGTAAGAAGGCCTGTTAGACATCCTTTACAAGAGAGTCAGCAGCTTCATTGCCTTCCAGGCCAGTATGGCCAGGAATCCAGACCAGAGATAATCTGTTTAGTCTTCCTATCGAGGAGAGTCTTTTTTAGCAATTTGCTACCAATTTAGACGTTGCTCGGTAGGAGCCAAGAGCTTCCAACGCCGCTCGACTGTCCGAGAATATTTTTATTGACTTGTGAGTGAGGTTGGATTTGTCCAATCTCTCTGCACACAATTCAATAGCGTAAATTTCCGCTTGAAATACAGTCGCATAAGTTCCTAGGCAGGTAGATAACTCTGTCCTGGGTCTGCGACTGAAAACACCTGCACCAGAACCAGAAGGTGTTTTTGATCCGTCTGTGAACCAACAACTATCTGCTCTTAATATTTCTTTCACCCGCAGGATCCAGTCCTCTCTACTCGATAAATATTAGCATCCTAATAGAGCGCTTCCGTTGGGACTCACCTACTTTTATCTAGCATGAGTTTTAACGTTATTCTGAAGATGCAAGAGATTTTTCAATACCCTAAGACATAATTCCACTAAACTATGGTAAAGTTTTTTGTTTCATCTCAGCATACCTGTGTGTAACTTGCTCAACTTTAAACAAAACACATTCAAATTTTTTGAGTAAATGATTGGAATGAGTGTCCCGATTAAGATAGCTCTTGAGTATTTCATGAATTTTGTCAATAATATTTCCAGATCATTTTTCAGCTTCGCAATTTCGCGAAGCAGTGATCTCATCCTATCATGAGAACTGTCCACTGAGGGTCAAAAGAGATAACGGCAACTCTTCTTGGTGGAACAAAAGCCTTGAAAATAAAAAAAAGAAGTCGACGACTATTCAATCAAGCTAAAGAGTCAGGTAACTGGGAGCTTTATAAAACCACTCTAACGACATACAACAAGGAAATTAGAAAGGCAAAACGGGAGAATTCACAAGATTCTCTCTAGAGAGCCGACTGCTGAAATTGGGTCGGTTAAACAACCCGATGGAACATTTACGACCTCTAGTGAAGAAACGTTAGAGCTTTTGATAGAAAACCACTTTCCTGGAAATCTGACTCTTGATGACAACAGACTTCTCATCTTCGAGAGCGCTAAACGCCCAAAAAAGAACGACTGGGACGTCGCAAAAAAGGTTATTACAGCACCGGCAGTTGAATGGGCTATCAAGTCTTTTCAGCCCTTCAAATCTCCCGGAGAGGATGGTATATTTCCAGCTCTTCTTCAAAACGGACTGGAAATAATTTTACCTATTCTCACAAAATTGTTAGAGCTAGTCTGGCGTGGAACTATATACCACCCAGTTGGTTGGCAGCAAGGGTGGTATATATACCTAAAATGGGCCGGAGATACCCACACCTCAAATCGGTACGACCAATCAGCCTTACATCCTTCCCGCTGAAAGGACTTGAGAGGATACTGGACGGACATATCAGGGGGGTAGCATTATATGCATCCCCACTGAATAACCACCAGTATGCTTATCAAACCGCCAAATCGACAGATTCAGCATTAAACAACCTCGTTGAGAAAATCTCCCAATTCCTTGACAACAAGGAGATTGCGGTTGCTGTATTTCTTGATATTGAAGGAGCATTTGACAATGCACTACCTATATAAATCTATAGGATTGTCTCTGGCTAGAAAGGGTATAGAATCGACCATAACTGGCTGGATCTATGCCATGCTAGTAAACAGAACTGCAACTACGACTCTTCAAGGCGAGGCTATCAGGTTCAATTGGTGGCCGAAGGCTTTACAGAAAACGGCCCAAGCGAAGCTCTCTGGCTTACAGAGACAGGCTTGTCTGGCTATCGTTGGTGCCATCAGTACCACACCGTCAGCGGCCATGGAGATCCTTCTAGATCTACCTCCTCACCACATTTTTCTGGAAAGAGAGGCTAGATGGACTGCATACAGACTTGTGCACACTGCCAATTGCACAAATCAATTCAATGCAGAGTGCAACAGACTGTTGGTTGACATTGGAAGTCACAGCATTCTGGAAATGACCTCTGACTTTATGCCTCCAACTGTCGACTTCTGAGGATTGTCGTTCGTAGGGGTGCGACAGCTGGTTAACGGAAAGACATACTTAAACATGATATGTTCAACATTACAGTATAGGATGGTTAAACCCAACCAAATATTCATTAAAATATTTAAAGTGTCAAAAATATTTCAAGCAAAAGAAGTACATGTACTTGTGATCCAACACCAGAGAGTTTAGACCCACCAAGGTGGTGCTAGGTTGATCCACTCAACTGCACTAAGAAGGATAAATCTGACAGTAAAGGTAATAACTTCTTCCCTTACGAAGACGCCATTAATGGGATCGACAGAAGACTCGATCCTTGAATATAAACGAGGTGGGTCAAAACAGCGCTTTCTGGTGTTGGATCATAAGTACATCTAATTGCCTTGCAGTGGAAGACAGAACATGAATCTCGTTTGGTAGTTGATATTGAAGCTTGGCTTTGCAACTGACTGCTTTGGGGAGCCTTGTTTATCTTTGATATTCGAGGAATGTGTTAACCCCATAGATGGCGTTTTCGTAGGGAAAGATATCATCTTTACCGAAAGAAGTATATTGACGGAGGTGTACAAATTTCCAACAGTTCCGTTGCCATCAAGTAGAAACAAGAAAAATAATACTGTATAATTGCACTCAAACACTCACCATCACATTGCACCCTCTATTGTTAGCTCCAGGTTATGTTCTCATGCAGTATTCAAAAAGTTCAAAAATGTGTATGAAAGTTTGTAATTTCTTTTCTAGGTCTGGTTCTTGATCATGGTGCTCGTCATCCTGACATGCCGAAGAGCCTTAAGAATTGTTACATTCTAACTTGTAACGTGAGCATGGAGTATGAGAAAAGCGAGGTCAACTCGGGATTCTTCTACAAAACAGCAGAAGAAAGAGAAAAGATGGTTTCTGCTGAACGTGGATTCATTGAGCAAAGGGTCAAAAAAGTAATAGCTTTAAAGAAATCTGTATGCGACGGTACAAACAAAACATTTGTGGTCATCAACCAGAAAGGTATTGATCCGATGAGCCTGGATATGCTGGCCAAAGAAGGTATTATTGCCCTTCGCAGAGCTAAGAGGCGTAATATGGAAAGACTTGCTTTGGCATGTGGAGGAATTGCTATGAATAGTTTTGACGACCTCCAGGAGTCTCATCTTGGTCAGGCTGGTCACGTATATGAGCATGTACTAGGTGAAAACAAGTATACCTTCATAGAAGACTGTAAGGTTCCACAATCTGTTACAATTTTAATGAAAGGACCTAATAAGCACACCTTGGTACAAATCAAGGATTCCGTAAGAGATGGTTTAAGGGCTATCAATAATGCTATTGAGGATAAAGCTGTTATACCAGGTCAGTGATATTTTTTTTAAGTAAAGTATGGTTTTACATAAAAATATTTTCTAGGTGCTGGAGCTTTTGAGATTACGGCAAATAAAGAGCTATTAGCTTTCAAAGACACTGTTAAAGGAAAAGTTCGTCTTGGTATTGCAGCTTATGCCGAGGCACTTTTAGTCATTCCCAAAACATTGGCTGTTAATTCTGGATTTGATGCTCAGGTAAGTGTAATATTCAAAAGGGATTTTTTTTGATTGGGCCCATCATCACTTACTTTTATTACTTGATATTTTAATATTTATCCAAATAANCCCAAAACATTGGCTGTTAATTCTGGATTTGATGCTCAGGTAAGTGTAATATTCAAAAGGGATTTTTTTTGATAAAGGGATTTTTTTTTTACTTTTATTACTTGATATTTTAATTTTTGACCAAATAACTATTTCCAATCTACACAGATGTTAATTTATGCATAGACTAATATGTAATATATGTTATAAGGTAGTAACTGGCAAAATTGAATTCAAGAATTAAGAAAGCAGAATGAAATTTGTTGATAGATAGACACAAATTGTCAATATATCTAGATAATGTCTTGGTTTCTATTTCACTTGTGTCTGGTGACACAACAATAATGTTAATATCATCGGTGTACAAGAAAAGTTGTCCATCTCTGATAATTTATGGCAGGTGACTATAAATGTTCGAGAACACCTTGTGAAGTTCCCAGGATCATGATAAATGATCTTCATTTACGCTTATAACCATAATTTCATCGATAACATACAATCTAAACCAGTATTTCGTTGACTCTTTTATGCCTAAATGAAAAAGTTTTCAAACCAATTTAATTCGTATTTAATGTTAAGAATGTTTGACTGAGATCAAATATTATTTCCATAACTATCAATATTGTTTTTTGTTGAATAATGTCTGTTGAAGGCGGTTTCAATAAAGATTTTTATTCTAAAAGCATGTAGACATTAAGATAATTTTCTATTTGAATAAATAACTTTTTTTTTGTATACCGCCATTATTTTCGATACCAAGTTTAGAATAGGTACATATTCCCTTGTAATTTTCAATGGCTAAATAATTTCCTTTCGTGAACGCTGGGTCTACTTTTGAAATCCTCATTTACGAAATCCTTTCGCTACTGATTGCTGCTTTGGCACATATATTTCTAGGGAATATTTCGATGTATTAGATGAATACTTCCATTCACATTTCATCAATACTTGCAGAATGTTGTATGCAATAAATTGAGTTACAGAGTGGGTTGGATTCAGTTGTGGATCAATTTTATAGTAGACTCAAACTCTTTACCATTTCTGCCAGCTTCTGCAAGCATGTTCCAAACTCATGTGTACTGAACTGTTGATACAAAATCATTTTGCATTCCAGGACACCATTGTCAAACTCCAAGAAGAATCTCGATTGAATCCTGAACCTGTAGGACTTGACCTGACATCTGGAGAACCTATCAATCCAAAAGATGCTGGCATCTTTGACAACTACGTGGTCAAGAAACAAATCATAAACTCCTGCTCTGTCATTGCCAGTAACCTATTACTTGTGGATGAGATTATGAGGGCAGGCATGAGCAGTTTGAAAGGATAAACAGTTTTAATGGCATTACTCTTTGTACTATTGAAGTTCAACAATAATATATTTTTTCAATTGGTTTCAAAGCATAAAATTTCTCAACCTCAAATTTTCTCAGAATGACATAACACATTCACAAGAAATTTAATATTCTGGAGCTGTATCTAATAATTTTGTTAGATAATTCAGTGTCATTTCAGACACTAATTGTTTATTAAAACTTTTCATTGGCAATATAAATAGTTTCAAAAGCCATTAAATTTTAGAAAGTTGTAAAGGTAACTAGTTTGAAATTTTTTAAACTTATACACGAAGGCAAAACAACTGAATACTGTTTTAGTTTGTGTTCTGTATGATAATGTGAGATTGCTTCGTTTTACACCATTTTTGTTTAGTTGAACTTCAATATAATTTCCTAATACGACTATTGCTTATTTATCTTTTTTTTTATAATCATTAACGATGAAATTAACACATTAAAAATATAATTTTCAACTGCACTTTGAAAAATTTTTCATTTCCCGAAACTCTATTTTTCCAGAAGTCTGTTTGGCAGAATGGCTAAACTAAGTCTTATAAAAACTTCACATCCCAGAATATCATACACAAATTTTCTCCTGAAAGTATTGTAAATTTGTAAACATTTAAAGTCATTGACATTTTGAAGAAGAACTGGATGAAAATTCAGGTAGACAATGTACCCTCAATGATGTAATGATAGCTGTAAATGAAATGAAGAATAAATTGTTTGAAATGGATAAAAACTACTCTGATTTAATGACCAAATACAAAGAACAAATCGATGTCAATAAAGGACTACAAAACGAAATAAGAGACCTGAAAAAACAACTAAACCATGAAATTGATGTCAGGGAACAAAAGGAACTTAATAACAATATTATTATTAAGGGAATTCCGGAATCAGAAAGTGTAGAAAACCTAATGGAGATCGTGAAAAAAATGGGTAGTATACAGACGGAAAATAAAAATCTTAGAGTATATAGGCTTGGAGAAGGATCCAAATATCCAGCACCAATAAAGGTCTGTTTTGAAAATCCACAAAGTAAGGAGAAGTTTTGGCAAGTTACCAGAAAAAAGAGAATTACTACCAAAGATCTCGGTTTCGATAACCCTTCGATTGAACCTATATACGTTGACCATGACCTTACAAAGAGAAAACAGGAGCTATATAAAAAGGCCAGGAATTTCAGAAAGGAACACAATTTCAGGTTTATCTGGGTCAAGGATGGAAACATTTTCCTGAAGAAGGACGAAGGTAGCAAAGTTAAACTGATTAATGACGAAGATGACAAACTAGTTCTTAGGCTGGCAAATAAACTTCACATTTGCTATGCTAATATGCAAAGTTTGCGTAATAAGTTGGACCAACTACATTGTTTTATAAAAACAAATGGCTGTGATATCTTGGTATTGACAGAGACATGGCTGTCTGACAATGAAGTTCAATTTATTTATCTAGATGGATTTGTGGCTGTTCATTCCTGCAGAGAAGGAAGAGCTGGAGGTGTTTCGGTATATATTTGTGAACATATTGATTTCAGTGTGATAGAAAAAGTTGATGGTTCTGATCAATATAATTTAATGGCAGTTTTGTTAAAATCTTTAAATCTGCAAATATATGGTATGTATAGACCACCTAAATATCAGTTTAGGGAATTTGTCGATATATTTCAGAATATATTATGTAACAAAAAGAATAAAACTATTGTACTGGCAGATATGAATGACAATCTCCTGAATGCAGATTCAGAGGAAACAAAAGAATACATTGATGTGGTAACTATGAGTGGTTTTAGAGTATGTAACATAGTTGACCAGAATAAATTGAGACATTTTTAAAGGAAAGATCCCAGTTTGTCGTTGTTGGTGAAAACATGAGTGAGCATATTAAAAATAATTGTGGCGTACCACAGGGTTCTGTTTTGGGGCCCCTGTTCTATACACTGATGGTACTGTGACTGAGACAGGCCGGGCTTAAGGGAAGGTATTTCACGTTCGCCGATGACACGGTCCTTTTGTACAGTGGATCTGATTTACATTTAATGGAGAACACAGTTAATGAAGATCTCTCTAAATACTCAAATTGGCTTGCACATAACAAACTTAAGGTGAACTCTGCAAAAACCGTTTACATGCTATTTAAACAAAAAAATAGAATTTGTGGAAATATTGAGTTAAAAATAAATAACTTACCCTTAATGAATGTTGCAAAAACCAAGTATTTGGGACTCATAATAGATGATAAGTTAACTGGTCAGGACACATATAGAACATATCAATGATAAAATTGTACCAATGAGCTCTATATAGGTGTTCCAGTTACTTGAGTTTCAGTAATAGATACTTGGTTTACAATGCATATATATTGGCGAATCTTAGGTATCTGTTAATCATATGGAGTAATTGTGGCATTACTAATTTCAAAAAAATTCAAACGCCAGAAAATAAAAAATGTATTTCAAATTCCATTTCGCACCAACACAAATGACTTATTCTCACAGACTGAACTCCACCCAATTAAATATCTACTTAAACTTGGGCAATGCAAGAACATATATAAAATAAAAAACAAAAGAATCGAAAGCATCAACGATCTACTAGTCAACAGCCAGTTTTATGAGTATAATACAAGGGGTAGAAATGACTTACACCTGAGCATGGTAAGAACGAACAAAGGATTATACAATCCTTTTACACAGGCTATAAAAGTCCTCAGTGAATTACCTGTCCATATACGTGAGTTGCCGGGCTATAGTTCATTCATCAATAGTTTAAAAGAACATCTAAGCCTCGAGGCACATGTCTGATACGTACTATGAGCTTTGTAGTTGTTTACTAGTTTTTGTGTTTCACTTGTCATGTTGAATGTTTGTGAATCCCGAGACCAGCATTTTTGCTAATTAGGGAGAATAACAACATATTTTATATTTATAATGTCTTAACTATGTTGAACTGTACGCTGTTGTTATAATTTTAATTAAAAAAATCGATTTTCCTAGGATGAAACTTAATTAAATATTATGACAGCAACATATTGTTTCACATACATACAAAAAAAGCAATATACAAAATAGCAATAAAATATATAAAATAAAAAGGAGACTTCATATATCAAATGGAAAGTTTGAAAGTAAATTATGCTTCGGACTGTATTTAATGTACAAAAGACCATATAGGTTGGCTGTAGATTTTTAATGGAGATGCACTGCACGAAAAGCCTCATAGGCATTGGATTTGAAGCACTGTAAATTATAGTTACTATATTATACTCGACAAGGATGCATTCTTCAAATGCGTCAGTTTAAAAAAATATACATAGTTCGAGATGTATCAAGTTGAACCTTGACGCAATGGGAAGCTGTTGTTTGTCATGTACTTCCAACATATCTGCTCATGGTAGAATCAAGTGTGTAAATCCCTAACCTTACTTTAATCTAGACTAGGTTGCTTGTGATGTTTGGGTCTCCAGTCAGGCAAATGGCTCTTTTCTGAATAGAATCTATCATCCTTAGAGCTGTGAGTGCATATGGGGGATCTCCTTATTTGAAGAAAAAATATAGTACCAATACCAAATGAAAATTGATAATGAAGAATATCTCGTATATTTTGTCAAAACTCCTCTATGGGACAGTAAAAATGTTCATCTTAGCTCATACTAAAGGGTAGAATACCCGCCAGAATTACTTCTTCCTTCATTTATTAAATGAACACCAATCTCTAGGTAATAATAACAACGTTTGACGTAAACTTGTAACATGATGCTCACAACTTTATTCCAGCACGACTGACCTACCGAAGTTTCATGCCCACACAAGATACTTCTCCTCATCGCCCCGCGGTTGCCATCGCTCGACCGTCACGATTTTCGTGCTCGCAGCCTTAAAGTTGCTGAAGTGTATAGGACTTTCGAAATAGTGTTTAGAAATAGAAAGCCAAGAAGCTTATTTTCAACAAAATTTGGACAATATCTCATCAGTCTCTTGATTAACATCATTATCAACACATTCACCTTTCTAGAGGTGTCTGGATATTTTTACAATAGAATTCCACTTGATAACTGTTACCTCAGTCTGACTCGTCTTGGAAGATTTCTGGTCATTCTAATGAGTTAATGTATTATAAAGAGAATCATGCCCGCTTCTCTTAAGGAATGGCCTTTGAGAGAGCTCGAGATGTACAAAAGCAATTTGATAAGGTATGAAACAAAGTTCAGTTACTAAACCGTCAAGGTTAAAGGATTTGGAAATATTGAAGGCTACAGCCAGATATTTGAATGATTTTTTCCAAAGATAAGTGATATCTGATATATGAATAAAGGTCACCTGATAAGCTTTACTTTTGGAAGCTATATTAATGGCTGAGCTCAAGCAATCTTCCATCAAAAACAACCCCTTTTTTTATGAGACAGAAAGAGCCTACAGAACACAAGTGTTAGTTTGTTAGTGTCCTTTTTAAAGTACAATGCAATACCAAGTTGGCCTTGTGGATTGTGCAGTGGGGATGATGGCTGTATTTTTTTTGAAATAAATAGTGGAGTGTAAAGCATTTTGTTCAGCAAGTAAATTTACTTTCTGTCACTATTATTTCTATGGGACTATGATTGAAATAAATTTTTGTCATTTCCTGATGATGTTAACTTCTTTAGCGAAACACACATTGAAAGACAGTATTCTTGTTCAGGTGTGGAAAAAATGTTTCAACGGGTTCATTTTATGCCACGGGTTCCAATTTCACCTAGCTAGTTGAAATGATTTTTTTTTCTGATTGATTCGGCTCTTACTTGATGAAGATCCATAGTAATAACTACACCTCACCTATAAATCGTGAGTTTTAGTTTATGAAATTAGTTGAAATTAACCAACAGGATTACTTGATTTGAGTATATTATATAAATATCAAGTAACTTTACACTTGAAAATAGGCATTTTATCCAAAACAATCACTTTTTACAATCACAAAAAATGCAATACTATTGTCGACATGCGTATCACCAACCAAGTTGGTGCCTTCAGAGGATGAAGAAAACTAAGAGTATTGTTTTTCTGGTGATTAGAAAAAATGCTTGTTTTGGATTAATTCTACTTTAGAGCTTCCAGTTTTACCTTTTATCAGACATTCCTGTCTAAATCTTTATACCAACTCACAGAATCACAATAAAACAGATTTCATTCAATATATTTTTCCTTTCAATTGAAATGTTTGTGAAAGAAACAAAGAAATCAGATTTAATGTTTTTAATTTAAAGAAAAAATCTACAAAAAATGAATTATTTGCTATAAAAATATTAGATTAACATAACAGAAGAACTTATCATGAAAAAAGAATGAAAAGGATATGTTATAAACATTTTCATTTCTCGGGTAGTCCTGCATTATTTCAGAAAATGAGATTTGTTTGGCTTTTTTCCTAATTTGGTTTTAATTTTTCTAATATTGATAATTCAAGTTTTGTTTGATACCACAAGGACTAAACCAGAACACAAATCAATTAAGTAAAAGATATTGAAGACTGTCCAATTATTGTTTTATTGATCTATCTCATGAATACCTAGGATTCATACTTTCAGACATTTCGTGAATACTCTGCTGGCCTTGTGCCTTAGTAATTCGTTCCATCAATTCATGATTGTAGGTTCTATGAAGCATCAGCGCTAAAACACCTGCTCGATTTGCCATGCTGGTCCTTATCTGCCGTTCTTTCTCCAATAACTCGTCCATTTTCAACCACTGACGAACTCTTTCCAAATCAACCTTGAAAGAAAAACCAGTTTTGCAAATTTGATTGTAATAATATGTCTTTGAATTGTGTTATAATTTTAAACATTATCATCTCACCTCAGCTCTACGAAGCTTTTCCCAAACATAATGTTTAGTACAAGACTTTTTAGGTGCTCTACAGAATTCACCGGTAGGAGAAAAGACATTTATTACCAAAGGACATCCACAAACTTCGAAGTCGCCAATCTTTGGATCTTTACAATGCTCTGGACATAGAACTCTCAATCTCTTGCAGTAAGTTCTACTTACAGGGTTGTAGAAGTCACAAAACATATTATTTCCTGAATACAAATTTGAATCAAGAGGAAATATTTATATCTTGAAAAATATTTATATGAGTTGTTACCTTCAATTCTAGTTTTGAATACCGATCCAAATGAAGCTTGAGATTCGTATTTGTTGAAACACTTTTCCATGTGTTTTATTGCTGTACGGGAATGTATTTCATGTCCACAAGTTACACAAAATGTGGAAATCTCAGAGTCATCGTCATTTTCATTATCTTGATTAGGGTCTATTGTAGCATTTTTAGCTCTTTCCAAAATGAAATCTAATTCTCTATGACGTTTATCTAGTTCTTGAAGAATATGGTGTACTTCTACTTGCTGCTTTCTTACCTGATCCAAAACTGAAAATTCATATTGAAAATTTGATTGTAGATATTGCAATAGTGTTGTCAATGAATTCACACCTTGTTGTGAGCGTAATTGCTTAACTTTTTGAACACTTCCAAATCAGTGTCAATAAATGAATAAAATAGTGAAGAGACAGTGTAATGAATTAGATATGTCTCAATAAGTTAAATTCTTGGACATAATATCAGATCAGTTCTCAAATTGGAATTCTTTTTTGAAGCATCATTGTTTTCTTTTTTATATTATAAACATGTATTTCTTGGGAAAATAAATCGTTATTAATATCATTATTATAGGTAAAAACTATGTATTTAAGGAAAGTCTGTTAAGTATTTTTGAAAAAAGAAACTTGTTGGCTTTCAACTTCTACATCATTAAACAGAAATGTAGGAAACTCTACAGGGTGTATCTTAAATGATGTCATTAATTTCAGGTGTCACATTTTATGAAAATAAGTTCATATGAACATGTGTCCAACCTTGTTTCGTTATCCGAGGTGTCAAAGTTTTACTAAAAATATTGTTCTTTTATTAAAAACTCAAAAGATTATTACCGAAATGACACTAATTTTTAACCACAACACTGCTTGTACGATATTCTTGATTATTTCAAAATATTTGAAAGTTCTTCCGGTTTTTTTCATTGGATTTAAAAATTGTACCAACCATGAGAGAATGCTGATTGTTAACCACAGTAGGTACAAGTCACCAGAGTATCTTGAATTTTTTTGACAGTAGGTGACAAGTAGTTTAATCAAATTGTTTTAGCGTGAAAACACTGTTGTACTGGTAAATACTACATACATACATATTACAATCAAGAACAATTATTTTCACCATAATTATTAATCAAGTAACCCTCTACGATGCCACTGGAATTAAAATTCCAAATTTAATTCCATGTTATTCATAACAAACACACGTTGTTTAATCAAAATCGGCGAAAATAATTGCAAGTTATTAATAAAAGAACAATATTTTTAGTCAAACTGTGATACTTCATTACTCGAAAACGAAGCAAGTTAGGACACACGTTCATATGAAAATTGTTTTCTGTATAATGTGACAAGTGATCACCACCTAAAATTGATGACATAATTTAAGACCTCTATGAGAGCATATAAGGTCATATAAATTGTCAATATTTTACAATGTTACCTTTAATGTTCATTTCTTCAGCAGCTGATGGACTCAATGCCCACTCTTGCAGGCGTTGGGGTAGAATTTGCAAAATCCTAGTTTTTGCTAAGTTCCGACCACATTGATCTGAACAATATTTTGAGCCATAACGAGCACTATTTACACACTTCGGTCCATAACATTGCCTTGGGTACTCAGTTTTCAAGTGCTCATTGAAGGATTGTTCTCTATCTGAACTGGAGTCTCTCCTTTTTCGCCTTATTCTGAAAGTACAGTAGAATTCATATATAACAACTCCGCTTATAACGACTATCCATTTACAGCGACGATAATGTTTTCTCAAGTTTAGTTTCATAATCAGTTATTGAGAAAATATACCTTTTAGTGCGACTCTGGTTTAAGCGACCAACCGGTTATAACGACTGTTTTTCATGATACTACATCCGGTTAAAACGTCGCGCAATGTTTTGTTTACACAATCTACGCACCAATACCTCGGCGCACTCCCTCTTCTTAGATACGTCTAATGATAGGTATTGATTTGATGAATGATTGATTTTAAGCCAGAGGTTACAGTATGAAGTCTTTGTCACTTGTTGTAAGTCCATAAAGTTCGACAAAATGAATTCTGTGAAGCAAAAGTGTTTTGCAATTGAAGAAAAAAGTGCAATATTACACCGATTAGAAGCCGGTGAATCAAATGCAGCCCTCGCAAAGGAGTTTGGCGTATCCCATTCTACAATATTCACAATTAAAAAGAGTAAAGATAAGATCGAGTAGCTGTTCAATGCCAACGTTTTGAAATGCAAACGTGTAAGGAGTTCTACTCATGAGTAGTTGGATAAGGCATTGTTACAGTGGTTCAAGCTTCAGCGCGACCGGAGAATACCTCTTAATGGATCTCTGCTACAAGAGCACATCCCCATATTACAGACTTGACAAGCATAACGTCGGTGTTTTTGCCTCTAAACACGACATCAGTGTTGCAACCCATGGACCAAGGGATTATTCGAACTTTGAAATCACATTTTCATAAAAACGCCAACGACACGAATAGCAAAGATAATGACGGTGATGATGCCGCACCAGAGGAGATTTATCCAACCTTGAGTGTGTCTGAAGCTCCGAAGGCTGCAGAAACGCTCAGTGTGTTTGTTCTGACTGACTTGGATGATGATAATGTTATGAAAACAATGATGTCGTGAATTCATAATGCTGTACGAAATTCTTACTACCGAACAAAAGTTTGTCAAAAACAAACTCAAATAACAGATTTTCTATGATAGTAACACAGTTTTTTCGTGCAATGCGTGTGTATTTTATCTCTTTGTATTACAGTACATATGTTTGTACAGTAGGATATTTAAGAACTATTGAAATAAAGCATATGTGATTCCTATAAAATGTTTCATTCACCTATCGATCAGCAATCCGAACAGCTAAATGAAAGACTAATGAACTAATGTACACTTTACTATCACAAAATTAATCCGTTTTGTGCGTCGTCTGGTTTGTACGACATAGTATATCAGGTCCCTTGAAGTTCGTTATATTCGGATTCTACTGTATTCCAAATAGGTATAACAAATAGCTCCCAACTTTCTATCATGGAACTTACCCTGCTCCTGAATTAACACACACTCTTTGTTTACAACGTTCTTTATTCCTAGAAGAACCATGTTTGTTTTTTCTTGAACATACATCACATCTGCCGCAGTCCTCAGTTCTATAACATCCCATGCATTCTCCACATTTTTTCATCTTTTTATCTGTTTTATTTTCGCCGCGATCTTTTCTTTTCCTCGACTTACGGTCTTCAGCATTAATTTGAGTTGGTGCTGATTCATCTCGTTCTCTCTTAGTTTTCCAACGAGTAATCAATGAGGGATCTTCTTCTTTACAGCGAATACAAAAATACTGTTTGATTAACTTTGCTTCCTTTTCGGAGATTTTCATACAGTCTCCATGATACCTGAAATATTGATTGGACATTTTTGGTACCAAGAAGATGTGATAATATTAAATAAAGTAATGTACTCACCATTCTTCACAAGCGTCACAGGCTATCATGAATCGAGAAGAATCTGAAGACCTACAAATGCAATAAGCTTGACCATCCTGTTTTAAAAGCGTATCGATCTTTGATTGTCTCTCTGGTAGCAGAAACTGTTTGGCAATTTCTTCTCTCTTCATAAATAAAAAATCATCAATAAAAGCTGGAATCAGTATAGAATACTTACAGAAATATCTTTCTTTCGTGACATGTTTGCGACTTTCGAAAGAATAGTTTATAGAAACAGATTTAGCAAAAACAACAACACCAGTATTTAATTTTTCATAAAAAATAACAACACTGCGACTAAGTGTCAACGTCAACCATTTTAACCTATAAATTTTCACAAAAGACAAAGCTTTTGTGACAAGTGACAACGCTGTCAGTATTCGGAGTATGTTCCATTAATCGGTGTAGTTCAGCAAGCACACCACAGTTAATTCATTTGTTTGTTTAAGAAGCGCCGTTTTCGTCAAAATAGTATTGTCGTCGATATCCAGAGTACATCAGAGCAAAAATTAATAGTTCAAGGTCATAAAGAGCCGCCAGACTCAAGTTATTTTCAGAAAATATTTAGTTAGGAATGTATGTATACCTGCTGAGCTTTCCTTTCACAGATATCATTCTCGACATTGTCGAGAATAGATTGAACCCAAATACGTATTTTTGACTTTCACATTAAAAGCGCCCAGCAATAACACATTGCAGGAATATTGTCTTTATAAACAGCAGTAACCAGATCTGTATAAAAAATCTGTTTAAAATATGTTTTTCCGTTAACCAGCTGTCGCACCCCTACGAACAACAACCCTCAGAAGTCGAAACTTGTGTGAGCTAAGGATTAACGAGGTCTTACCTTTTAACGTGTGATTCCTAACACGGACATTATAATGTTTAAAAAATTCCCCGATTTCTATAAAAGGGTACCGTTTTCAAGCTGTCAAGTGACGCTACATAGGTATTAACAATATATTACTCTTCATTACTAAAATACTTTATTTTTGCTAAAATGACTAGTGAAGGTCCAAGACCTCAGAACTGGTAACTCTAGTGACGCTAATTTTGTTAATGATTGACAAAATGCACAAGCTGTCGAAAACTTTCTCCATGATTTTCTATTTCTGATATTAAAGCAATTGATCTATAGTTATTTATAAGATTTTTGTAATTCTTTTCGGTAATTCACTTGAAATTGAAATCAATCAGTTTGTTGTCAAAACGATCTCTACGGAAATTTTACTGTTCATCAGTAAATAGTACTAACGTGAATAATAATTTAACCCCCTAGAGATGCTATGCCAAACTTAATGACAAATCGCGCGTAGAGTACAAGTATCTCTTATTTGATGTTTGAGTAATTGAGCTCTGTTAAGCGAGTTTCAAGGATTTATTATATTTCTTCTTGTGGAAATTTTTCTTTGATTCATTTGATATTCTATCAAATTATCTAAAAGAACAATTTGTTCAGGCTAGTCTCAACTCACCTACACTGAAGGTTATATAATTGACTGAGAACTACCAGAAAACAATTATTTCCCTGGCTAATACCACGAAGGGCGTTGGATTATATCCGACAAGTGTCAGTGCAGTATTCTTCACAGAAGTAACTCCTGCTTATTGGAACACACTTGCAAACCGGTTTCGGGCCCTTTGGCCACTCGTCAGTGAAAGGTAGTGTCCATCATCAACATGAAATCGAAGATTTTCCATAATTAAATCATCATTCCCCGAACTAGGCTGAAGCGAATGACTAACAGTTTGTCATCGCTCCATCTGCCCTTGAACGAGGTAAACAACTGCATATCCGAATCGCCCAATTTCTCGTATAAGGAATTAGGCAAGGAACGAATTGTTCTTTTAGATAATTTGATTTACAGTCAGTCTTCAAGTAAGCCCCCTTACTATATCTTGATATTCTATGTTGATTTGATATGATATGTTCTTTTATATGTATTGTTTTGATGCAGCACAGTACAAAATATAGTTGAAAAACTTTGTTTGGTGTGTGAATAAGAAGGCAACTTTAATCGGTCATATTTTAGGTATTTGTGTACCTACTACATAAATATACGGGTATATCAATACCCTCGTTGCATAAAAACATTCATGTCGTACAAGCCTGTTATTACTACAAAAACTAATGGTGATTTTTTAAAAAGCTTTGGCTATTGAAGCGAGTGAATTGATTAGCCTAATAATTGCTTCAAGTCAATATCCAGCATCAGATTCAATAAGGTCTTCTTCGACATCAATAAAATTGTCAAATACCAGATAGTTTCTGTTCTGTTCGTTTTAATTTTCAACAATTAAATCATTTTCAAAATCGATTACATTCAACAACGAAAAAAAACAGGGTATCAACTATATGAGATTTAATCGGGCGATACTTAATGAAAATCCATATATCCAATTGAAAAAACTGAGCTGGTTTAGTGACTCTGAGACAGAAACCATAATAATCCTGTAGTAGGTAAAACAGAAAATTTTAGATCTACTTACTATCTCAAAATTATTGTCAATTCAAAGAAAGATTTATTCATGCAGCGAAGTGATGAAAATGAGAAACCCATTGAGTGATTTGCTAGCTGAAATTTTTATGGATATCTTTGAAAATGGAGTTGATTATAATCAGATAGTTAGCAGTTTCGTATACTAGTAGAGATACGTAGATGATATCTTAGTTCTCAGTCTATTTTACGGGCATCTACAGGCCCCCCATGCCCCCTCCCGGGTTGAGTGTCCTGAAGTAGAAGCTTCGCCCCACAACTGATTTGCGAGGAAAACCTAATACTCCACTCCATCCACCCCCGCTCTCCGAGCGGTCCTCAACTTACCAATGGGCACTTCAGCAAGATTGACATCTGACCTTTTATGGTCGAAAGTCAGCCGTAAGGTGCTATTCTTTCGTGATCGGTTATATTGTTTTGTCATGATTATTTCTAACTGAATTTTTGCATGGGGGGCCCCAAAAACTAACCGGCGGCTACGCTGTTTAGCGTCACCTGGGGGCGACTCGTGGGGGTGGTAGTTGATTTTGCTTTGTCGGCCTCGGGTGTTTATCCCTTTCTCGGAATCTGGGGTCATCCATATTCAACGCACCGTGTAGATCGCGTAGCGCTGGGTTGTTGTGCGATCTGATTCTATCGAACACGCTTTCTGCGTGTTCTCTCATGTACGCTTGGCTCGTATATCTCGCCAGCAGGGCCGTGTCGTCCGCATAGAGCGCCAACTTGTTAAATTTGTTCTCTGGCTTGGGCACGTCCGCTGCGTATACGGAGAAGAGGTGTGGCGAAAGGACTGCTCCTTGCGGGACCCCTGCTTCCAGTAGTCGAATTGTTGATAATTCGTCTCCTACTCTGCAACGGCATCGCCTGTCAGCTAGAAAAGACTGAATTATTCCTACCATTGGTTTTGAGTATCCAACGTCGCTCATCTTGGCCAGTAGTCCGTCATGCCAAACTCTGTCGAACGCCTTGGAGACGTCTAAGAAGATGGCCCCGGTGTTGTATCCTTTGCCGAAATTGAAGCCTTCGGTCGCAAAGTCTACTGCCCTCAGGACTTGTAGCTCTGTTGAGTGTTCTGATCTGAAACATAATTGTTTATCCGGGAGGATTTCTAGCTCTCTGGTTTGTTCTTCGAGTCTCTTCAAGATGGCACGCTCCGCCACTTTGCTTATGGAAGGCAGTAAGCTTATTGGCCTATGATTATCTGGGAACAGGTGTTTCTTCTTGGGCTTCGGGATGTGGATGACCGTTGCCTCTTTGAACGGGTACAAGAAGTGCTGCAATCTGAGTATAGCATTTATGATGTTAGTTATGGCTACTATACCCTTGCGCGGTAGTACTTTCAGTGCCCGGTTTGTTATGTGGTCCGGGCCTGGTGCTTTCTTTTTCTTTTGGGGTTGATGCCACTTCTTCAATGGTTTGCCTCTCTATCGGTGTTTCTACGGTTGGCCATACTACTGTTTGGGCTTGGCTTGCGTTTTCTGTTTCATGGGTTGGCACCATTTTTTCAATGGTTGCCGCTTCCTCTGTCATCGATTCCATGTCTACGTGTTCCTCATTCTTTGCTTTTGCTTTTTCCGCCTGAATTTTTTCTTGCTCCAGGCGTCGTCTGGTGCGGCGATTGGGCTTTCTCTCAACTTTTTCGAATCCGTCTTCCGAGTCGGATTCGCTATTTTCAGCTTGTCTTTTGGGAGCTCTCTCCTTGCTCACCTTATCTTTCTCTTCTTCAGGGATTTTTGCAGCAGTTTCGGTTTTGCTTGCTTTATTTTCTTTTATCCCTTGTTCAGGGGTGTTTTTTCGGTTGCCCTTCTGTGTATGCTTTTCAGTTAAATCAGTTATCTTCTGAGCTTTGCTTTTTATTTCGACTTCGGCTTTTTCGAGCCTGTTCCTCAGCTCTTCTATTGCCTTTTGGAATTTTTCGAAATTCGACATGTACTTGTCACTCAGAAGCCGACAATCATTTTTCATGTCGTCGACGTGCTCCTTGAGTTTTCGGTTCTCCTCCTTCAGTTTTTCATTCTCCTCCTCCATTTTGCAATGGGCAGGGTCCTAACAATCTGAAAGATGAAATAGACGAATTCTTTTTGACGTGTGCTTTCGCACACAGCAGTTCTGAAGAGAATCATCTCTCTTGGTAGTGTGAAAACACTGCACTAAATCGCACTGAATATTATTCGTATCACTGCACTTCAAGTTACACTTCAAGCTTTTACAATTTGATGTTCACTCTTCGGCGTCTTGAATCGAATTATTTTAATGTATGCTTCGGTATCTACAGGTAGACAATTGGGCAAGTATGTCGAATATTCAATTCCATTTTCCCATCAATTAAATTCACCACTGAAATAGATGTAAATAATTCAATAAATATTTTAAATTAGGTAACTATTACTGAAATTATTAATAAACATAATTTTTTGTCATACATAATTCCTAGACACATACCTATCAGACACTATCAGCATAAAGTAGAAGTATTTAATAGTATGTTTTACATTTGGTAGATGAAGTTTTGAAATTCATTCTTTTGGAATGCTTGAGACGTATTTCCACCAAACGGAGTCACTTGCGACTATTTTTGTTTTCAAAAGCAGAAACAAAAAATTTGTTTTTGTTTCGAAAACAAACTCGAAACTCGAATTCCACCAAATAAACAAAAATTGAGTCGCGTGTTGTGAAAAGTTTTCTATCGTTTCCTCTACATGACAGTTTTTACCATGCCTTTTCTGGATTTTGTTTTTATAATGGGCTGTGATTTTTTAATAAACGAATCTTTTGAGCGAAAGGACCGAAAGCGCATTGTTAACAAGACGAATATATCATGGAACAGA